GTCCTTAAATTAAAATGTAAAGGCTTGCAGCAAAAAAAAAAAAAAGAAACATTTTTTTTTTACTGCATTGATTTTTTCACAAAGTAGTGAATTATTACTTTTTTCAATCTAAGAAGCTGTGCAAAACTTATTTTAATATCGAGTGAAATAATTTAATATGTTGTGTAACTAAATAGTCAAAAGTCGCAATAGAACTAATTTTATTATGTTTAATAAAATCTAAAATCGGTTGATTATTAATGATAATCCAAGAGAAACCTTCTTTAAAAATATTTTTAATTATTTTATTTAAGTAGTTAGAGAAAATGGTGCCNCCAATCTAAGAACCTGTGCAAAACTTATTTTAATATCGAGTGAAATAATTTAATATGTTGTGTGACTAAATAGTCAAAAGTCGCAATAGAACTAATTTTATTATGTTTAATAAAATCTAAAATCGGTTGATTATTAATGATAATCCAAGAGAAACCTTCTTTAAAAATATTTTTAATTATTTTATTTAAGTAGTTAGAGAAAATGGTGCCAGGTTTAGTTAGATAAGTATTAGTGATAGTTCTAAATTTAACAGGAATTTCATGAAATTTAGGACTGATAATTAAGTAAGGAAATTGTATAAGCTAATTTTAATTTTTACTCTCTTATATAAAGCTAAAATTTTTTTAATGACAATATTATTATTTAAATTATTAAGTTAAAATTTTTACTATTTTTTAATTCCGTTTTTAAAAGTTCAACATAGAATTTTTTACAGAAGATTGCATAATTATTGTTAGCTTTGTCTATGGGAGTAATTTCGAAATTTTTTTCAAGTTGCTTAATTGATTGAACAATTTTAGAAAATTTTGCTCAATTGTTACTGTTATTCAAATTATCCTTATTATTTAAAACAAAGTTTTTAAAGTAATAATAAACACTAGCAGACCTAAAGGTAAAGAGAATCTATTTGATATCTTTAAGCAAAAACTATTGAGATCATTAAGAAAGTATTTTAGAATTTTATTGATTGATATGTGGTAAATGGGACCAAATTTTGTTCCTTTTATCATTAAATTCCTAAGTTCTAAGTTTTCCATAATATTTAAATTACCAGTAATAATATGTTTATGATGTTCATCAATAAAATCAAAATATTTCTCCTCCTCATAATCGGATATATTAATCCTCCCTAAATTTTTTGTTTATATGATAATAATTAAATGTAGTTCTATCAGAGATATTACCCCGAGGAATTAATCTTGCTTCGTAATCATGATGATAATATTAATTTCAATTTTTTAGATTTGGGTATTATAAAAGAGGAAAATATCTGCTTTGCTGATTTATACGCTAAAAGAAATGATTTTAATTTTAATATAAATAAACCAATTCCTTGGAATTCTAATGTCTCTAGGAACATATATTTAAATACCACTTTTAATGAAATGAATAGAATTAAAAGAATAAGTAGTAATATTNTTTTTTGGATTTGGGTATTATAAAAGAAGAAAATATCTGCTTTGCTGATTTATACGTTAAAAGAAAGGATTTTAATTTTAATATAAATAAACTAATTACGTGGAATTTTAATGTCTATAGGAACATATATTTAAATACCACTTTTAATGAAATGAATAGAATTAAAAGAATAAGTAGTAATATTTATTTATTCTCAAAACAAATAGATAAACTATTTCAAAATTTCATGGAAAATAATGGCTACCCAACTAAAGTAATAAAATTCTATATAAAACCATTGAGTTAATCGTATATTATTGTAGATATATTTACTAAAAAAATTTTCTTTGTTAATTTAAATTATTTTTCCATGTAAAAATCAATTTCGGGCTATTCCGTAGCTAAAATTATTTACTAAAAAATTTCTTTGTTAATTTATATAATTTTTCCATGTGCAAATCCATTTTGGGCAAATCCGTGGTTGAAATTATTTACTAAAATATTTCTTTGTTAATTCATCTAATTTTTCTCAGGTGCAAATCCATTTCGGGCAAATCCATGACTAAAATTACTTACTAAACAAATTTCTTTGTTAATTTATATTTTTTTCCATGTAATAATCCATTTCGGGCTATCCCGTAGCTAAAATTATTTACTAAAAAATTTCTTTGTTAATTTATATAATTTTTCCATGTGCAAATCTATTTCGGGCAATTCCATGGCTAAAATTACTTACTAAATAAATTTCTTTGTTAATTTATATTATTTTTCCATGTAAAAATTCCATTTCGGGCTATTCCGTAGCTAAACTTATTTACTAAAAAATTTCTTTGTTAATTTATATAATTTTTCCATGTGCAAATCCGTTTCAGGCAAATCCGTGGCTAAAATTATATGCAAAACAGGCAATTCATATTTCTTTCTCCTTTCTATTTTATATTTTTTTCTTAAATAAATATTTATTTTCTACAATTATTAACTGTCAGCTTCTTTAAATTATCCAGTATAATATTACCTTGCGCACATCCATTTCGGGCCCATCCTTGGTAACTAAAAAATCAAACGCACTTCAGTATTGCAATAAGAACGCACTTTAATACAAAAATCCTCTAGCTACGCTTTTACCTCATTTTGCGCTTTTGTTTTCTTTTTTTGCAATCTGGCAATCTTGTTACGAAAATATTTAAAATCATTTTTGAAAAATTTCCCGTTCATGTCAGTTCGGTTGAATTCGCTACTCGCTTTTTTGATTTCATTTCATGTTTCATTCAGATTTTTCTTTATACTAGGAGGCTTCACCCCCTGCTCGCTGGCGCTCACCAACCCCTGGAACTGCTTTCGCAGTTCATTTCGGATTGCTTCGCAATCCAATGCTCGCTTTGCTCGCTCATTGGATATGTTCTTAGCGTCTAGCTTTTGTATACTTTTTTGAATACTGAAGTTCCGAAAACTTTTCACTGTAGAAAATTCTAAACCTGTACATTTCAATATTAATTTGAAATTGCAAACAGTTCACATATTTTTCTTAATCACACTATTCTAAATTTCAGTTGTTGAGAAAAGTAACTGTTGTAAGTTTTGTTTTAAAGTCTTTCCCACCAGAGGGCTAAAGCCATGTGTTGTAAAACAATATGAAATAGTAGTCTGCCACTGAACGCCGGATGTAAAGCATCGGCTTTGATGAAGATAATTTTGTATTTTTAATTCTCTGAAGGGCGCCACCTTAATAATATGGAATTTGTAAAATAAATGTATATATTTTTGATTGTTGATGAAGCCCATGTGTTTTCATCAGTGTTCAGAAGCAGAACAACTATAAGTTTTTTATTTTATCACAAAAAAAAATGTATAAAAAACAAAGAAAAGAGTAAGAAAATAAGTATAGTCATAGAAAAAGTTAAAATTATAAAGTAGTATTTGTCAGTTAAAATAAAACTTTTTGTTTAAGTCATTGCTAACAATTCAAATTTCTCCGAGGCAATTCTAAAGTATAAATTAAGGTAGTATTGTTAAGTTGAAACACAATATTTTTAGTTTTGATGTCAACAATACAATTCAATTTTTCACAAAAACGATTGTTTCCATTGTTAAGTTCAATGTCAACAATTCAAATTTTTCTGAGGCAACTCTTAACCTCTAAATATTATTTTTTTTATGTACACATTTCTAAATGTCAGTATTCAACCACAAAACAACTTAAAGTCCTCAAATTTAGCATGAAGTTGTAAAATGTAATGAAAGAGGGTCATAGCAATAATGAAAGTAGAAGTAAAGTTAGTACTGTAAAATTAAAACAATATTTTTAATCAATGAGCCAAGTTCTTCAAGAAGCAGTTGTAGAAGTAGGTTGTTTATTTAAAACTTTTTATAGAATTTCTTTAAGAACACAATTGTTAATTTGGGCATTTGGCGATACAACACTTTTAGAATTGAAGGATTTGTTACGTCAAGCGCTCAGGTATCATAATTTTGATCTAGTTGCGCTTCTATGTCATTTTGATTTATGTTGCTAAGTTAACTTTCAAAAAATTCTATGGCTGGCAACAGCATTTTTATTTTTTAAGTTGTTTATTTTTATTTCTTTTAGAATTCGTTATTTTTTTAGCGAAATGTTTTTTAACCTAACAGAATTCTTTGCCGACTGTTTTCTCTATGAATGAAGAAAATAAAGTAAATATTTAACTGTTGTGAAAAGAATCTTATTTAGTTGTACAAAGTACTTCAGCCAAAATTTGGGAGCCACGTAAGAGAATTATATATATTAGATCAGAAACACATCATTAAAAGGCAGAATGCTTTGGTGTTTTCAAAACAAAGCAAACGTTGCCACCGGCGGAAAAGAAATACAGCCAAAATTTGGGAGCCACGTAAGAGAATTATATATAATAGATTTTATTTTCTGTTTTTACGTGATATTTTTACTTCTTGTGTTCTATTTTATTTGTTGTAATTTTTGTAAAATTTTTTGACTGCTCCTCACACTATTGTATTGATATATTTTGCTTTGGCTGTATTGATACAATATAAGAAAGCACTCTTTTTTGTGGATATAATCGTGTGAGCTGATGAAAAGATTATATCTTTTATTTTCCGGATTTTTTTTAAAATTTTTGTCCTTTTTTTAGGATTTTTCTTTTCCGGTTTCTTGTTATTTTTATTACTATTTTTCNGCGGATATAATCGTGTGGGCTGATGAAAAGATTATATCTTTTATTTTCCGGATTTTTTTAAAAACTTTTGTCCTTTTTTTAGGATTTTTCTTTTCCGGTTTCTTGTTATTTTTATTACTATTTTTCTTTTATTTTTTCCCCTTCTTTCATTGTTCTGTAATTTATAAATATATATATATAAAAGTTAGCTTGTAATCTCGCATCATTAATACCGATAAAGTAGCCATCACTTTTCAAATAACCAAAACTTATATTTAAAAGGTGAGAAATGTGAGTGATAGCTCATCTAACCTAGCAAGAATGACGAAGGGAGGACTAAAGTTGTAATTAACCCCGGGGGGTAATGAGGGATGGAATCTTGGGGCAGATAAAGGCTAACAGTGATTTACTAGTAATTTGAAGAGGGGGGAGCTGAAGAATCAAACACACTGTCAATGTCACACCAAAGTCATATTTCCATTCAAGTGGTTCAAATAAACGACTTCCTTAAAACTTGAAATACGGGTATCCAGTCCCCTGGTGGTTTCTTTCAAGAAGTAACAATTTGTAGCAACTGTAAAAGTTGTTCCAAATCGAAATTTCGAAGCGTGTTTGAAATTTCTTTGCCTTTGGAAATTTATTTATATAATGGCTACCACAGGCGTGGACTATCCTGATTTCTCGCTTGTTTTCAAAGCTTTCCATCTGAAAGAAAATGCTCCAAATGGAATGATTTGCCGTTGCGGGCTTGATAAAGAGGATACTGTTTTATTTGAAGACGAAGAGAGAGATGCTGATACTTGGTATTGGTATGATTTTACGAGATATTCTTTTCAAATAGAAACTGTAATGGTACCAACATGTGATGATGATATTTCATCAATTGAAAAGTTGAAAATGATTTTTCGCGATATGTCAACTTACAAGAGATTGGTTTGGTGTGGCCGCCTTCTAATTGAATTCCACGAAGAAAACCAATGCAGTCNTGATATTTGCTATTGGTATGATTTTACGAGATATTCTTTTCAAATCGAAACTGTAATGGTACCAACATGTGATGATGATATTTCATCAATTGAAAAGTTGAAAATGATTTTTCGCGATATGTCAACTTACAAGAGATTGGTTTGGTGTGGTCGCCTTCTAATTGAATTCCACGAAGAAAACCAATGCAGTCGGTATTTATCGTCTGCTCTAAAGTTTTATTTAAGAGCGATTGAAATTTACAAAAAGACTCGCCATCTTTTAAATATCCATCCTGATGATATTAAAATTAAAGAAGTTTTAAGGCTTTCATCTAAATTTCGCGTTCACCATAGTGTATTTCTCGAACTTTTGACATTGTTTAGCACAGATGTATATTATTACAGAGCGATTCCGTTTTTCCATGATGTTAGATTGTTAGAAGATATATTTAGAGCTGCAAACGAACTTAAAATAGATATATTGGTATTAATGAAAAAATTAGACAGCGGATACTACTACAATTTATTTACTTGTTTTGTTCATAAAAACATTGAAGCTTTTATTCCATTAATCAAATTTGGAAAGACTGAGTGCATATCTATAGAGAGTGGTAAATATTTGCTGTCATCATTGCGCGGGTAATTATTATTATTTTTCTATTTATTTATTATCTGTTTGTATACTACAAACTATTATTCTTCATCTCAAATTGTTGAGAGTACGAAACTGCAAAATATTCTATAGATAATTTTTAGCAACATTTACTTTTTCTTTATATCAACTACAAGTTACTCCAAAATGTAGAAAACTACTTAATTTACTCGTATAGTTATCCACACGTCCACCGAATATCGACTTAATTGTTTTTTATTTTTCCGCAAAATGTCTTGATTCACCAGATACACTTGTTTTTTTCTTTATTAGAGTATTTAAAATAAGTAAGGAAAACAATGAAACGTATTTTTTTTTCTAAAACTTGTTTTACAAGTTATCAGCATAATTTCTGTTAATTATCACTATTCATGTAAAATAAATTTTATTATTAATTGTTGTGGAATTGAATAATCTTCCGGTTTGACTGACTTTAAAAATATACTTGCTTACAGGGTGTGGAGAAAAAAAATGGACAAATAACTTTTAAGAGAACTTTATTAAAAAATAAATAATCACAAATAATAATAATAGTAGATTTACTAATAAATAAATTTAATTGACAATAAATAGTAATATTTAAGTTTGATTAACAAAGCGGCAATCTTAAGTAGAGGCGCAGATGTTTATCGAAAGCAGTGGGCCACAATTCCCCATAAAGGTGTTTCGTGGAATCCTTGTGTTCTGTGGAAAGTTCACAGGGGTTAAGGGCTTTTTTTTAAAACTAAAAATAATTTTTGAAACCTATATTAGGTTTGCAGTCAACCAATAATTAACTTATTTTGTTAATTTGGTTATCATTATGAAATAATTTAAATAAATAATTCCGCAATAAAAAATAAAGAAGTAGCAAATTTCAAAATTTATCATTAAATTTTTTCCGATAACAATAAACAGAATAAATTACTAAAGAGGTTTGCATTTGTATCAGCCTTTCTCAGCGAACTTTAAAGTTCAAAATAAAGTTACAAATTTATGGATTACTAATTATTTTTTCTCTGATAACTCTGTCATTTTATAATATTTCTTTTAGGTTAATTTATTCAATTTGATTTATGCATACGCCAAGAAGTAATATTTAGATTAAAAATTGTTACAGATTTGCAAATTCAACTGCCTAAAATAAAATCTAACTTTAAGACTGGTATGGAAGATGAAAGAATGAAATTTTTTTTATTGCTCTCAGCAAATTCACATCTGCTAATTAGCTTTTTTTTAAAAGTCCGTGGGAAGTTTAACCACCAAGGGAAGTTTAATCATTTAAGGCAGAAAAAAATTAAAAGCCGCTGCTTTAGAGAATTAAAACTTTAGTAAACTTTACAAAAAAAGAAAAGAAAAAAAAGGAGCACCTTTAGAACTACTGGTCGGATTTTCATTCTATAAAATCCTTTGATAATTATAAATTTCTAGAAATATGTATAACAGTTCTTAAAATAGGTATTATAATTTTAGCGGAATATACTTTTTTGGACAATTTAGAAAATGNAAAAAAAGGAGCACCTTTAGAACTACTGGTTGGATTTTCATTCGATAAAATCCTTTGATAAATATAAATTTCTAGAAATATGTATAACAGTTTAGAAAACGCACTTTTTTTTCCGAAACTTACTTTTCCCCCCAACAAATTCAGATTTATCATCACAATATAACTATCTCCTGAGCCGCGATGGCTCAGGGGATAGAGCGTTCGCCTTCCAATGAGGTGAACCGGGTTCGAATCCCAGTCGATACGAATTCCGCATCCAGCTTGCACCGTCCACAGTGCTGACGTGAAACATCCTCAGTGGTAGACGGATCATGGGTTAGAGTCCCCTTGCCGTCAGGCTAACCGTGGGAGGCTTTCGTGGTCTTCTTCTCCATGTAACGCAAATGCGGGTTAGCTCCATCAAAAAGTCCTCGACGAAGGTAGATTTCTCCCAATACTCGATCCAGGAGGTCCCTTGCCTTCTGGATTGGGTTCAAATTAACAAGGCTACGGAGTTGAACATTAGTAGTCGTAAACCCATGAAATTGGGTCGGCTGTTCAACGACGGTTATAAAATAGAATATAGGAGGTAAACAAAGTTCTAAAAAGCTGGTTTTATAGTTTAACTGCTGTAGTGTTCCAAATTTTTCTTACCCTAATATGCCACGATTTACATCTTATCTTTTAAAATATTTGATAAAATACAATCATTCTTTCACAAAAAAGTCTTGGCCCAGAGACAAATATATAATATAGAGCAACAATGGCTCAGGGGGTAGAGCGTTGTATAGCAATTTTTCTGTCAAAGATTTGATTTATAAATTTTTGTTTACGTTTGAGATTCCCATTTCTTTTGTATTCTTACTGACTTCAGGAAGGTAATCCTGTTCAATCTATCACCCTCCCTAAGTATTGGAAGGCCACCTTAATTGGTAAGATAGGATTTATCTCTTATCTCTGGACTATTTTTCTGTAATTTTTCTACTGATTCACATTCCTAAATGTCCAATCAATTTTACAAGCTCAACTGAGACTTTAGGAATGTAAAAAATTCTGTTAAATTAAAATGAAAAAAATTCTAATTGTAAGCAATTTTAATGTTAATCGAAACATATTGAGAAATTCGCGCATTTTAGAAAGAAAGAGGACAATTTAGGGGAAATTCGCGCCATGACAGAACTGCATCCCGAAAATCATAATTTTCAAAATTGTTTGAAATTTATGATTGAATATAATTGGTAGGTGTCATGCGATTGCAGTGCCAATAAAATTGTAATTAAAATCAACTGCAGTTGTAGTTGTATTATAGTGAAATAAATAAAACCTGGAGAAAACCTTTCTTTTTTTTGTTTTGAAATTTTCATTAATTTGAGAAAAATTTATTTCAAAATTCATGAAAATTGCATCACTTGTGAAAAAGAGACTAAGGAGTCTTTTTTTGAGCATATAAGGATAAATGTTAATTTTTTGTTAAATTTTTTATTTTGCTTTTGAAAAAAAAATTAATATATAAGGGGATTTACAAGTCTAACATAAACATTGCTTATACCAATCAATCAACTTTGTCAGGAAAAGGAAGATGCTCCACCATTAGATGCTTACTACCACATTCTGACGTAAACAAAGTAACAGACAGAAAAATAAAATAAATTACTAGACAATAATTATAATAACGAGTTAAAAATTTGATAATGCTTTATTTGGAACCTAAAGCCGTAATTGTTACAACTAGATAACTTATAAAATAAAACGTAGCATTAATATTTTTATTATTAAAAATTTTTTTTCAAGAAAAGAAAAGAAAAGGCGGAAGAAATTTATCTTGTTTTTGTTCACAATTTTTAAGATTAAAGGTAATTTGAACATGGAATGTTTTATACAGCAGGCCGGGCAGGCGTTGAACTCGTGTTCGTCTGAGCGGGGGTTCAAATCCAACAGACTGGTGTATTAAATGGTGACTGGTGAAAGCTAAATTCTATTGAAGTCACAAAGTCCTTCAAGTTAACGAAGCAAATCAATACATCTAGGGGTACTGATCCTGGAGTTCCCTAGTCTTCTGGATTGGGCTCAAAATTACAAGGTTACGGAGTTGAACATTGGTAGACGTAAACTCAAATTTGGGTCTGCTGCTAAACAACGGTTATAAGTTAAAATACTTTACAGCAAATCAGGATTAATAAATAGCTACTATAAGGTATTTTGTTAGTAATTATATTCTTTTTGTTAATTATATTTACATACCTGCCAACTCTTCCGGATTTTCCGGAAGATTTTATTTTCATATTTAAAGTGGTAGTAAATATATACTATTTTTTCTTTTTTAAAATTAATTTTTAAATGATTTTGATCACCACTATTCTTACAAAAATTAAACACATATATTAATATGCGTTACTATCAAGATTGTCAACTTAAGTTTTCTCAAATACAACGTATTTGTTTGCTTAAAATTGAAGTTTTAATTCCATTTTAATACCACTGGGAAAAATGATAATGGGAGGGATTAAAAGTTGTTAGGTATGTATTTATTATATTCATTAATTATATTTATTAACAATATTCTTTGCACTTAAAAAGTTTGGAAGAAAATAATGATAAGCCACACTTTCAAATTGTGCTGTTATCAGGTAAAGGTTCCAGAAATTTCAAAAGTATTTATCTGGAAATTATACTATGTGAATTATGTATTTATCTGGAAATTATGTTTTATGTGAAAATGTCGATTTTTGACAACAGCGGCTTATCATTATATTGCACCTACCCTTATATTTTGGTAATTTTAAATTACATTTTTTTCCTGTTACAGTGTGTCTGAGTCAATAACAGTGAACAGTGACTATGTATATAACTCTGCAACATTCCGAGCACTGCAAACTCTGCTTTTGTTTTTTCAATTAAATTCCACAGACTCTAAACCAACTACAGGACCTTACGCACTGAAGTTATTGTGGAATAGTATAACAGAACCATTTCTGCGTCAGGAGGAGTTTAAAAAGAGTGTAAAAGCAATCCAACCATTTGATCGAACAACTGCAGCATGGGATTGGTATGCAAGTCAGGTGCTGGAGAACGTCATCTCACCCAGAGGACCAAGATCTCTGGCCCATCTTTCAAGGTGCTCAGTTCGTCGGCAACTGGCGACGTGCCTTCAGCTGCCGTGTGGTGTAGACCAGCTTCATGTTCCGAAGATTCTAAAGGATTATATTCTCTTGAAACATTGAAAGCCTTTTACCAGTTCAGAGCTGAAAAAGCTGTATAATTTCGATGAATAAATTTCATTCTAATAAATAAATTACAATTGTTAATTGTACATTGTTCCGACTAAACACCTAAGATAAACTTTTCAAATCTTTCCTTTGAAATTATTAAAACTCCAGACTACATTTTTGCTATACAAGCAATGAAATTTCCCTTTCGTAGAAGATGTGTTGGTTATAACATTTTGTAGGAAATAAAATTTCATAAGACGAAGGTTTTATTTTCAGATTTTATAATACAGAGTATCACTTCTATATAAATCTAATATATATAATTCTCTTACGTGGCTCCCAAATTTTGGCTGCATTTCTTTTCCGCCGGTAGCAACGCTTGCTTTGTTTTGTTAACGTTACTATTTCTCTTACACGGCGAATCGACCAATGATTGCCGCTAAAAATGTCACATGCCAAATCTACTGAGGTGGCTCAACATATGGCGCTTTTAAAAACGGAAACTGAAGTAACCACAGAGCATCAGCTGCGGCCATCTCATACTATTAAGCTAGGCAGAAGTGAGTAGTCATTGTCGATAGATCTCCTCTATTTTAGTATTTTGTCGAAAGCGATTTTTTTCACGAATTTATATATTACAAATTTATTCGACGATTTTTGATTAATATCACGAATTATACTATAGCGCATTTCTATTAGGTTTAACGAATTACATGTCATTTATTCGAATTCAAATTTATTTTAATGACTTAGTATTTACTAAAAAGATGTAATTTTTTAAAAAAAAAAAAGTTTTTATACGGATTTGAATGATTGTTTTGAATTCTTAGAGTTTTGTGCATTTGCAATGTACCTAAGTTAGTAGCGAGCGAAGCGAGCTTGGTTTGCGAAGCAAACCATATAAGATTGCGTAGAAATTTTCGGGGGTTGGCGAGCGTTAGCGAGTAGGGGGGCAGCTCACTAGTTAATAATAATATTCGATTTTTAGTTCGAGAATATTAACAGTAAAACCTTCAAGAGGGAGAGCAACCAAATTTTCAACAAAAAATAATTACGTTTCAAGCTCTTAAAAAATAGTTTTGAAAATTTTTTTCTAAAAAAAAAAATCTAATATTTTTCCCTCTCCATGTTGAAAGCTTATTATTTGAATGCATAAAATTATCAAAGTAGAAAGACACTTACAAAGATTTTATATAATTATTTGAAAATAATAAGTTTCTGATAAGTTTCTGACAACTCAATTCCTGATTTTATTAGACACCATAAAACATTTTATGCACAGTTCCATATATATTCAATACCGAGTTCATCATTATATTTTTTAAATTAATAACAATTTTATTCAATTGTATAAAAAATTAATTTAATTTCGAAATTGCAATTAGTTAAAATTTAAATAAAAATTTATAAATATACACTCAACAAAAACATTTACAAGATGATTATTTGTAATTTTGTTCAGTATTTCTTTAATGAAATATTTAAAAAATGTATTCTATAAATCTGAAATATAAAAATTGAATAAGCATTGCAGCTAGAAAAAATTGTACTGCTAATGCTTCCGTAAGCGGAATATATTTTAAACTGTATAGGTTCAATCATAGCAATGGAAAAGGCACAAGCGCAGTTCAGAGATGAATGCAAATTTTTGCGCTATATAACGAGAAACACATAAATGCTTAATCGAAATCTTTATTTTTTGTTACGTAAACATATACAGACTTATGTGCTCAATTTCAAGAACAACTTATAAGCCTACCAAGGGCAAGAGCAGATAACAGAAAGGAAAGGAGAACAGCACAAAGATGCATCAACGGTAACGATAGGCTTGGACCCCGCTACTTCCATGTTTTATGTTCGGCCTAAGGCATGACAATACCACTGGGCTACAGAGACTGAAGGAGAACCGATATATTTTTAAGATTAAGATGTGAGAAAAACTTATTCTATATGAATCCTTGATTTAATCTAATATCACTTCCTATATCGACTTATATTACAATTTAAGCAAAATGCAAACAGGACTATTACGATGCCACTAAAAAAAAAGGGGGGGAGGTAATATATTAGGCATGAGAGCCAGTAATTAATTTGTATCAAAAGCCTTGGGTGTGCGTTTCAAAACCATTAAAAATCCTCAATGCTGACTAGTGAATAGCTTTAAAGTACTCGAAAAAGTTGTGCAAACTTCATAGCTTTAGGTCCCGCAGTGGACTGATCGTTAAGACACGGTTCCCAGCAGATCACCGAAGTCAAGCATCACTGGGCTGCGGGCAGTGTACGGGTAGGTGACCACTTGGATTAGTCTGCGCAGGGACTGTGGGTGTGCGGTATTGGTCCTCATTAAACTGTTCGACCGTAAAGTGCTCGACTTCTCGTGCAGGTCGTCAGGCTACCAAAGTAGGGGTGCCATCCCCTCTGCAGAGGATCAAAATTGCGATAGCATGTCATCGGATCATCCTCAGGGATGTTACCCAGACCGTCGCCAATAGCCCATTGTGCAGCTCTAATGCGACGGAAATGAGCTGCAACAGCAGCATCATAGCTTTGGACCTCGGCTCACGAACCGGTGACAGTTAGCTCCGTCTCTTTTAGTTTCCGGTTCATATAAGTTTTTCTTTTCAATTTAATATTTCGTTCATAATTTTTGCACACATATGAAAATTTATACGAGAGTGATCTTAATTTCAATAAAATAAATTTAATGTAATGGTTAATTCGATTTTTTGAATATTCGATTCGATGGATCTAAAAGACAATACCAATGTTAAAATAAATAAGTAAATGAAAACAAAAATTGTTCGTTATTGCGGTTTGCATACATACTTAGTCAATTTAACGAAATTTTCTCTTTATCTCTCGCAAAATTTTATTTGTCATAGAATTACAATGAAGTCATGTTGCATAAAATGGCGTTGTTGCTTATTTAGAATATTTTAAAAGTTTTTTTTAGTACTTAATCAGGAAAATTTAAAGTTTCACGAAGTGACTTTAAACTGTTAGAGACATGGGACGCCTTTTTCTTAAAAAGGACACTCTCCAAATGAAATAAGGTATGTTGGAGACGAACTATTACATTTTTTAAACAGTATTTTAAGTGTTTAGTTCTAAGTTTTAAATATGCAACTTCATATGTTATTGTTTATGAAGCCGCAAAATCAAATTTGTATATGTCTGTTTCCAAAAGGGTAAACATGGAAAACACTATTCCATTTTCCCCCCTGCAGTTTCAAATTGCTTATAGTGTTTAAAATAAAATTAAGGATTTGCTCAAACGTTTTTTATAAGTTATTTGAAACATTAAGTTCTATGCAAGTCCCAATGTATGCGAATATTCGAATTACTATCGCATTTTTTAGGAAAAGCTATTTTTTTTGCACCTTACCACGTCTCATCGTTCATCAGTGTCTTAGAAACTACATATCCGATTTCTATATTTTTTTCCCTCTTCAATAAAGTGTTAGTTTTTGACATCTCTGATTTTGAATATCTTATAAACTTCAACATTTTAATTTCACATAACCTTTCGTAGCTTTTAAAAAAGTAAAAGTGTGATATGAATAATTGTTTTCGCTACATTTGAGGATTGAATTAGTAATAAGTTAGCATAAGTTAATCGCATATATGAAGGGAAAAAATTGTGGTTGTAGGTTCAAATTTGTGATTTTTGTGCATGTTTCACATTACTTCATTTGTTTCTATAACTCTTCCACATAAGCCTGAATGTTTAAAATTCCTGTAAACATATAATTTACTCTATAAATTAAGAAAAGGTGCAAAAAAAAAATATATTTTGAAAAAGTTTATGGTAGTAGCTGGAACTTTTTGGGAGTGTTTTTAAGGTTGATGTCTTTTAAGTGCCCATGTCAAGGACCAGTTATTGACAATCACAATAAATCTTTTCTTTAAAATAAGAAAATGATTTTGACGTATATGAAGTTCTAACAAAAGAAATGAATTTTCCCCCCTCCTCGATGGACTTTGTCATAAGCAAAAAACAAGTAACAATATGAACTATAATCAAATGCAAGTTATTTCGCATTGTGAATTCAAACTGAATATTTCAAAATACATCGATTTGTTATCACGTGAAATTAAAACAAGATAACCAACTTAAAAGCGTAATAAAAATAGTGCGTGGAGTCCCTCCGCGCGGAAGAAGTTAAACTTCGCAACCTGCGACGTTAATTGTAGAAGAATCAGCAGTCGTAGAAGGATCACTAGTTCTATTCAACGACTCTTTCTCCTGCTCCGCTCCCTTCCATGTTCTGTAATCACGGTAATATTGTGCACTTTTCCCACGTGGACCTCTTGAATCAGTGCTTGTGGTTGCTTCATCGTCTCGCCCTGGAAAATGTTTTAATAATGTATGTGAATGCGTCATAATGTAATTTCAGAAGAGAAACAATCAAGTGATATTCACAAGCGACGTACCTTGACATAACCTTAAATCCGTCGCATTGTCCGTGGGATTGTTTTCACTCATTTTTTACAATTGTTATCCACTAAATTTGAAAATAAAAAATACTACCCTATTAAATTATATGTGAATCAAAACAAACTAAAAAAATATTTACAGAAAAAACAATACTTTTATGACTTTTATTATTTTTATGCTAGTGAGAACCAAAACAATATGGAGATGAATGAGGGAAAACTGGATCCTACCACGTGATTTCCCGGCCAATAAAAATATAGCGTTAAACGTTTAACGCAACCTTGTTGGAAGTCGCATAAGAAGTATAACTTCAAAAAAAACCAAACCAAATGCAAGATATTTCGCATTGTGAATTCAAACTGAATATTTCAAAATCCATCGATTTGTTATCACGCGAAATTAAAACAAGATAACCAACTTAAAAGTGTAATAAAAAAATCATGTTTAAAGTGGATGAAAAAAAGAAACGAGACAATTGGGTATACTATAGCCTACGTCACAGGTTGTGTTATTCCTACTAAATTTAACCCATGAACGGCATTTTCTGCGAGCCTAACTTCAAGCCACAAATAAACAAACGAAGTGTTTGATCGTTTAAATAGCAGCTCGCCAGATTGCTCGCCAGATTTTATTGCATTATAAGGAAAAGTAATTGATATTCGATTTTTGATTAATAATTGATTTATGTGGATAGTGGCATAGAATTTAGCATTGCGTCATGGTAAATGTTATTCCTACTAAGTGGAAGTAGTTATGTTTGTTTTTATATTATACCCAATTATTTAGCTTTTGCCACGTGTAAAATAAATAAAAATAAATAAAATTTTAGGTGGCGACAGGAATTCATTTGTGAAATAAATACATCGACTTCCTCTCGTGTCTGCCTAATAAAGTGCTCAATGACTTCGACCATGATGATGACGTAAGTTTTGTTTTATTTACTTATTTTTTCAAAACTTTTTATTTGAAGACCAAAAGTGTTAACGATGTAAATTTAAAAAAAAACAAATAATGTAAAAAACTCTTTCTTACCTTAAAGTATCTCTGTTAATTTAAATTGGTGGGTGTGAAAATGCAATCTAATGGTATGTAACAGTAAAGAATTCCCGCAACAGCCCGTTGTGGGCCAGGGGGGGGGAGTGATAGAGGTTAAGGCTCCGCAATTTCGTGACCAACGGCAAGCTTATGGTTTCGTGACTAACGGCATGCAACACCGTGCACCGGCCGCCTTTACTTCCCTGACAAGCCAATATCCATTAATCTGAGCCTGGTTGGGCTTCAAGCCACCACCGTAATTTATAATGTAACACTTTCCTTATAAAACCTTCAAAGTAATTCAATTTCGAGTGCGGCAGTTTATAATCGCAAATTTTGTAAGTCTATGATAGATGGAACAACAACGAACATTGTAACAATAGTTCACGATTTTTCAACATTTTTCTTTTTGGCTATTGCCTTGTTCTGCACTTTTAGTCATAGAAGGAAAAAACGAAATTTCAAATTCTCCTGCATTTATTTTTCAGCAAAAATAGATAGTTTATTTAGTGCCCTTAAGATTGTTCGACTTTTACAACTGGGTCGTGTAGTGAGAAAATTGAAAAACTATCTAGAAAATGGAGAGTTTACTACTTTGTTTCTACAATGTTAATTTCTCACTCGCTCGCTTGCACATATTGTTCACTTGTACATAGGACGTAGTAGATGCTGAAAACGGTTTTGTACATAGTTAGCTTTTTCAAGTTTGATAAAAAAAAAAATCTCTTTTTTAGTCCACTAGCTTCTTCAAGATCGAAATTATAAATCAGCTGATAAGGTAAACTGACTTTTCGTGACTGGATGATGTCATGCTTAAAAGTGCTTATTTAAATTTTTTTTTAGCGTCAATTTATTCACTCTATTCTTGCGTCTGTAAATTTAGGCAAGAAAGTGGACGAAATTTGATTGGCGATAAATTCCGCTCTTATAAAGGAAAAATACACATCTCGAAAATTCCTATTAAAATAAAGTTAATCTTAGATTAGAAATCATGGTTGAAAACCTTGGATAGGGTACAAATTAGTAGCTTGATTAGCCTTTAGGGTAAAATAAACTCCATTAAAGTTTCAGTTTATTTACTTTTAAACTAACAATAACTTTTCAGCTGATGTGTATTCGTGGTGCAACGATTAGGCTGCTGCGTTTTACCAAAGCGGTCCAGGTGTCAAATCTCAGCTAGGACAATTGAAATTTACCTAATTTTCTTTCCTAAAAAGGTAGATATTTATTAAGTTTTATTTCAATTTATAAATTATTTTTTAATTTCATTTACTTTTTAAAAAAAAATAAATTTTATTGAAAAATTAATAGGTATTTATTTTTTTTATTTAATACATATGGATTAGTTTAAGAAATTACAATATTTTAATTTAAATTTTAAGTTACAAGTCTTTTTTTTTAATAATCAATAATTCCTGNACCATCAAGATGATGGTATCATCAGATCAATGGTCACCCCATGTTAGGAATTGGAGCTGGTTCAACATGATAAAAACAAACATGGTTTTGTTGGATGGCTCAACAAAAGTAATCCCTAATGAACCATCATAATTTAATGGTTTTCAACTTAATATCCCATCAAAAATCATTTTATTTTTTGATTTTACTATCAAGACTGACCATCTCGTGAAAAAAAATTGTTGATCGCAAACATTAAGTTAAAGTTTAAAATTGGGCATAAATCATTTTTTTTAATGTTTTTAAAAATTAAATTTGAAAATACTAAGTTTAAAAATAATACATTTAAATTGAATAGTTATAATTTATAAATTGAATAAAAAATATTAAGTAGTTATCAATCTATTTAGAAAAGAAAATTAGACGTAACACTCAATCGTCCCTTCTGGGATTTTAATTCCTGACCTCTCGGACAGAATGCAGACAGCCTAACTGTTACACTACTGTTGGATAAAGTTTTTTTAAAAAAATAAATAAATAAATAAAAAAAAACTGAAAATTTAATGGGCATATTTCATCCCAGATCTGCCGGCAGATTTGTGTCTTATCCAAGGTTTTCAAAAACTCTCTTTAATTTAAGCTTAACTTTGTTGTAATAGGAATTTTCGAGATACTTACTGCGTATTTTAGCATTTCGAGGAGTGCGTAATTAGATGCGTATTTTTGTATGCGTATTTTAGAGTATTTTCTTTTAGCGATAGATGCATATTTTCGAGATGCATCGTTAGCGGTAAGGAAATAATCTAAATTTTTATTGTCATCTGGCCTGTAGCTCTAACTGAAATTTGTGCATTCCAGTGAGTCGAAAAACGGTTGAAATTTTGATTGTAAGATTTGATCTCCTCTCGAAAGCGAGTGACAGTTTTAAAGCAGTTAAAGATAAATTAAAATTTAGTTTGATAATTGTTTACATTTCTTGTGTCATCATGTTTTTTAGAAACATGAGAAACATTGTTTAGGTATAGATAAAGAAAGTTTTGATTCGATTTAAAATTGGAGATATTTTACTTGCGAGTTGAAGATTTCAATTGGAAACATCAAGTGGTACTTTAAAAAATAAATAAATAAAAAACCTGCATATTCTTTTTTTATTATTGAATAAATAAATATTTTTATATTTGTCAATAAAATAAAAGGTGTTCCATGTAGGTCTCCTTTACATGTATAGTATTTTGAATTCTTAGAGCAAAAATGAAGACAAAAAATTGCACACATCGGAGGTTGTCACATAAAACTTAAGCGATGGAGGGAAAAAAAAAACGCTATCGAAGATTGACAAGTTACAGTTAAAGAAGATGGCTATACGAAAAGCAAAGCTTGTTTCATTGATAGAGGAAACAGAAAGAATTTTAACAACGAATGATCGAAACGCCATCAAATTTCAACCTACAATCAAACTGGATTTGATGTTCTGTACAACCGCTTTCCTCGCTTTTGATTCTTTAAAATTCGATTACGTTTTTTTTCCTTCCTCGTTTAAATATTGTCTTTCGACCTTCAAGATTGTATACTTTTTTTTACCTTCATTTTTGAAAGGGATTCTAGAAGTAGATGTTATGGGCGGTCTTTACGGAGCACTCTGCGTAATGTGTAATTTTTGCTTGGCTACGTTTTTATTATATCTTGTAATAATGTTTCCCAGTATATAAAATTACAACTCACTTTGACAGAGAGTTGGCATTAGCTTTTATCAGCCAGTAATACTGAATTAAACAATTCACAGACAAACCATGATGCGTTTTATTTTTTTTTAACTGAAGTTAACAAGAACTATAAATACAAAACGTTAAAAATATGTAGATTTATATATTGCTTTTATTTATTATTATTATTTCATTCAAGAAAAATACACTTTTCAATAGGATTCATATTGCTTCCAGGCTTACAGTTAAATATGTTTCCAAATGTTTTTGAGTTTCTCACCATTCCATTTAACCTTCAAAAAATAAATACAAAAGCAATAAATTAGTGACATAAGTAAAAAGACGAAATGTTAAATAGGCAAATAAAAGGATAAATTAAATAAAAAATAATTATAAATATAAAATGAGAGAAAAATTTCAATTTAGAAATACGCTCCTGTTTATAACAAGTTATTTTTCCCCCAGAGAGAAGGGATGTTTCCCAGACCGTCGCCAATAGCCCTTTGTGCAGCTCTAGTGCGACGTAAATTAACAACAACAACAAACCCCAGAGAGAACAACAATCAAATTAACATATTGACTTTTTTAATATTTATAAAGATTATAGAAGCATACTTTTAGTGGTTTTGTTCTCTCTGTCACCTTGCCGGTATATAGGAAAGCCCCCTATGATCGCACTGTAAAATATTACTGTAAATTATATAGAAGAAAAAAAATTGTTTGAAGATAGATTTTTTCTGTTGTTAATTGTTACCCGCGTGCTGCAAAAAATCCCCCCTTTTTTTAACAGGATTGCTCCATATATTTCACGGTTTAAAGCTGTTTTCGACATAAGTTTTTCTTTGTTTTTCACCTTAATCATAAACGGATTAAAACGGTCAATTCAAATCGAAGTTTTTGTCATACAGTTTTCCTAACCGTAAGATACCGTAGATATTCCTTACCGTCGGAAAGCCCCCTATGTTTACACTGTAAAATATTACTGTACTCAGTACTGAAAGAAAAAGAAACAAAAAAAAAAATTGTTTGAAGATAGATTTTTTCTGTTGTTAATTGTTACCCGCGTGCCGCAAAAAATCCCCCCCCCCTTTTTTTTTAACAGGATCGCTCCATATATTTCACGGTTTAAAGCTGTTTTCGACATAAGTTTTTCTTTGTTTTTCACCTTAATCATAAACGGATTAAAACGGTCAATTCAAATCGAAGTTTTTATCATACAGTTTTCCTTACCGCATGATAACTCTATATTTTTTTTCCACCCAGCACCAATATGGTGCCCATGATAAAATGGTTATAAAGTGCTACAATGCTTCTTTAAAAAAAAAAAAAAAAATAGAATGATGAAATATTTCTTAAATTTGGACGAAATTCGCTTCCTCGAAGAAATTACAAAAATTATTTCGTCACTTCTTCTAGAAGTTCGACGAAATTTTTGCTCGGAGCAAATAGCAGGAAAGAGTTTCGTCAAAAACGAAAAAAGTTTCGTGAAGTTTATGAGCCTCCAGTTTCTACACTGTGCTTTGAGACAAATGTGTTTAACGTTTTTAATTATCGCAATATTATACTGAGCATATTACATACTCAAACAATTTCGTTAAATTCGAATGAATTAGAACTATTTCGCAACATTTTCATGTTTGAAATACAATTAATTATACGCAGAAATAACAGAGTAATAAACAAAATAATTGTTTACATTTCTTGTGACATGTTTTTTAGATACAGCCAGTATGGAATAGATAAAGAAAGTTTTGATTCGATTTAAAATTAGCGATATTTTACTTGCGAGTCGAAGATTTCAAGCGGAAACATCAAGTGGTACTTTAAAAAATAAATAAATAAAAAACCTACATATTCTTTTTTATTATTGAATAAATAAATATTTTTATATTTGATTCATACCTTATGTATGTAGGAGCATGATTATCATTTCGATATTTCTCTTCCTCTAATTGACGGCTTCTTGATTCGCATAAGAGCTATAAGATTAAAGAAAAGAAAACTGGAAAAAGCAAGTTAAATTTAGAGCAATTTTAGCTCATTCTCACAGTAAAAAATGAGAAGGGGTGAATTATAATGAAAAACAAATACAAATTTAGGTGTTTAAAATGGTTTATTTAAGATACTCTTGTAAAGATTTTAGCAACAAAATTTGTTCAAAATGTCAGTAAATAAGATAATGATATCAGAAAGTTTAGGATAGAGTGACTTTTGGTCTGAGGAACCAATTAAAATCGAAATTCTTCTCCATTGGTACAAATGTAAATCTATACAAAACCTTAATCAGGCCAATTATTCTATATGGTAGCGAGACCTGGGCAATTAATAAAGCAGAGGAAAATAGACTACTCATTTTTGAAGGAAAGATCCTTCGGTCAATTTTTGGAGCAGTTAAGGAAAATAATATTTTAAGAAGTTTATATAATAATGAGATATACAATAAATATAGATAACGTAATATTTGGAGGGTTATTAAGGCCTACAGGATCAGATGGCTGGGGTGCGTTTTTCGGCGTGAAGATTTGGACCCAGTTAAAGAAACTTACTTTTTCGAAAATTGGGGGAACTAGAAGAAGAGGGAGACCAGCTACAAGATGGTTGGACAGTGTTGAGAATGACTTAAAATTGCTGGGAATAAACAGGTGGAAAAATCTAGCTCAAAGTCACCCTGCCTGGAGGCAGCTATTTGAGAAAGCTTAGGCCTGCACTGGGCTGTAGTGCTGACGACGACGAAGAAGAAGAAGAATAAAGTGACTAGTTTTGACAATAAGTGAATTTTTCAAACTTAACCTTTTGGCTAAACAAACAACACATCAAAAGTGAGTATAACAAATATAACATAATATAACAGATATAACAGATATAACAGATATTCATAAACAAATCATAGTGAAAAGTAGCAGTTAAGATGCAATATATGTCAAGATTAAAAAAAAAATAATCAATGTCCTGCTGATAAATCTCAAGAAAGTAGTGTGTTCAATAATTACACTTAAGATAATGCATATTTCTTTCTTCTTTTCCATGTTTCCATGGTGCAGGTACACTCATTTTTACCAAGAAAATAAAAGAAAAAAATAATTTGTGTTCAAAAAGGAAATTTTTGATTGTTTTTTTTAATGATGGATTAACATGAACAAGATGATTATCATCATGAGCATCCATTAAAATCCATATCCCTCCTTGATGACACCATCAAGATGATGGTATCATCAGATCAATGGTCACTCCATGTTAGGAATTGGAGCTGGTTCAACATGATAAAAACAAACATGGTTTTGTTGGATGGCTCAACAAAAGTAATCCCTAATGAACCATCATAATTTAATGGTTTTCAACTTAATATCCCATCAAAAATAATTTTATTTTTTGATTTTACTATCAAGACTGACCATCTCGTGAAAAAAAATTGTTGATCGCAAACATTAAGTTAAAGTTAAAAATTGGGACAATTTCATCCAAGCAACAATAAGTTGAAATAAAATAATTTATGTCTGAAGCACAATCTGATCATAGTTAAAGTATTCGAGGAGCTTAAAGCGAGGTGCCTGTAACGAGAAAACTGTAGCACTAAACTCGAACAAATTTTCTGTAGAATCATTGCAAGTTACAAAATTAACAATTTGACTATAGGAATTCGAATTTTTAAAAGAAAATTTATTTCTTGTTTAACGTGATTAGAGGCTAAAACGCCGCTACAAGTCTATTTTTTGAGCAAAATAGACGCAGCAAGCAACAAGCACTTATGTAAAAACACGCTGATGCATTTTAAAATTGGCATCTCATTTGCAATTGCATCTTGCAACTTATATTTTATAAAACATTTTAGCAATTTCTTCCTTGCAGAATCTTGTTATAATACTGATTTTCAAGTAAAGGCGGAATTATTTGTATTTTGCCTTTCTTAAATTAAGTGTTGGTATGCTATTTGCTTGTAAGCGATGAATATTTTCAATGATGTAGGATGAACATCAAGACAAACTTGCTTTTGTGCAAAAATCTGAATATACTGCAAAGGAACTGCGAAGGAAAAACATGATTGCTGATAATCTTTTTTAAAGTGTGAGTAGCGGGAGCTCAGGAGATAGAGCGTTCTTCTCCCAATGAGGTGAACATTGTTCTAATGCCAGAGGTGACTGGCCGATACTGATTGTGCGTCCGGCTCACACCGACCACAGTGGTTGACGGATCCTGGGTTTCCTTGCTGTCAGACTCGCTATGAAAGGTTTTCGTGGTTTTCCTCTACATGTAACACAAATGCGGTTTAGTTTCCAATGCAATACCAATCGAGATTTATCATTCGAGCCGAAAGCAACATCTATTGATGATTGGTCGTTCAGATCAAAATTACGATCTGTGAATTAAAAGGAATGGAGCTTGAATAGGTCGTCCCTGTTAAACGGGGTGCGACGTGTGTGTGTGGCTGAAGTCGTATTCACGGCCATTCATAGATGGCGCCACTGAAAATAAGAAACGTACCCTCTGCCTAGAAAATCTGCTTGGATTCCCATAGCAGGCTTTCTGATATTGTCAAGTAGCATTAGTAACAACAACAACAACTATGCAATCAACAAAAAAAGATGTTCGGGCATATAAAAATTTCATTTCGTAATGTATTAGTATTCTTCTTCTTATTATTATTATCATTATAACATAGCCGACAAGGCATGCAGAAAAAAAAAGGATTTTTCGAACAGATTTTTCAGAGCAGAAAGGATTTTTCGATATAGAGTAGTACTGATAATGAGCGAACACATTTTTGTTAGTAATGAAAACGAAATTTCGATGGAGTTTTGATAGTTATTTGCATAAAGTAATAACAATAACGAATGAGTAAAACGTTGAGGCCTATTTGAATAATTTTGAATAGAAATAAGTAACTATATTACGATGAATAGAGGCTGGGTTGATGATCTAAAAAATCCCTAGTAATGCCCTAAAAATAGAAGAAGAAAAATGCCCTGAAAATCATCTAGAAATGCTAGTAAAATGAAAAAAATCCCTTGTTTCATAAGATTTTAATCCAAAATACCATTTCTTTCCTGAAATTTCATATAACTTACAAATGTATTATAAAATTTATATTAAGAGAAAGTGAAATGTAATTTTCATTACATTTCAAAATTAATGTTAAATTAAAAAATAATTACAGGATAAAGAAGAAAGAAAAACTGTTTTAATGTATGTGAACTGTCTAAACAAACTCAGAAATAAATTTACCCAAATGATAAGATTTAAATGTTTAGGATTAGCCTTTTTTTCTGTAACAGCTGAAAATCAATCAGAGCTCAAGTTATTTCGACTAGATGGGTCTACAAAAATTCAGTTGTCGAAAAAAAAAAACCCTAAAGTTTAAAAAAAAGCTAAGAAAAAAATGTTCCAAAAATTAAACAAAATGCCATAAAACTAAGCTAATGTACAGTAAAAAAATTGCCCCAAAACTAAAAGAAATGTCACAAAATTAAACAAATGCCCCAAAAACAAATTAAATGCTCTAGAAACTTTAAAAAAAAATGCTTTAAACTAGCAAGTATTCAAAAATGCTTAGCCCCTTAACGATCGGTTAATTTTCAAGAAANATTACATTTCAAAATTAATGTTAAATTAAAAAATAATTACAGGATAAAGAAGAGAGAAAAACTGTTTTAATGTATTTAAACTGTCTAACCAAACTCAGAAATAAATTTACCCCAATGATAAGATTTAGATGTTTAGGATTAGCCTTTTTTTCTGTAACAGCTGAAAATCAACCAGAGCTCAAGTTATTTCGACTAGATGGGTCTACAGAAATTCAGCTGTCGAAAAAAAAAAAAAAAACCCTAAAATTTAAAAAAAAGCTGAGAAAAAAATGTTCCAAAAATTAATCAAAATGCCATAAAACTAAGCTAATGTACAGTAAAAAAATTGCCCCAAAACTAAAAGAAATGTCACAAAATTAAACAAATGCCCCAAAAACAAATTAAATGCTCTAGAAGCTTAAAAAAAAAAATGCTTTAAACTAGCAAGTATTCAAAAATGCTTAGCCCCTTAACGATCTGTTAATTTTCAAGAAAACGATCATAAAAGTGCCTATTTTGCCAAATATACATATTTGATTAGTGCTGACATCTAGTTTAAAATAAACGAACTATCTATAATTACCTTAAAAATATTCTGGTACTGCCATCTGGTGAGTAAAATGAGAAATAAAACGTTTTCCGGGCAAAAGAAATGAATTTGTTTTATTCTTATTGGCACGTTGCTACTGAACACTCCAGCCCGGAAATTTCACGGGAGCGAGAAATAGAGGGCGAAACCTCACCCGTAATTTTCACAGGAGCGAGAAGGAAGGGGTTAAAAGGAAAATAAACTGTAAGTATTATCAAAACCCGGTCTATAAAGAAAAGTATTTAAATGCATCATTTCTGAAAAATTCTGAATGAGTAGAACTAAAAATTTGTTAATTTCCAATGCTTTCAGAAACGTCTATTTCTTTAGAGCATAAAAAGATGTAGTTATTAAAAAAAAGAAAGTTAACCGAATATTATAGTAAATAAATTAACTTTTTGAATTCTGAAATAGATTTCTAAAGTTTATTACTACCTGAGCCATTGATATAAATACTAATTGTTGCATTGAATATGGCAAAGCTGGTAAACTCTTCTTCAAGATAGTATCATTTTCAGAAATGAGTTCTTCAAGCATCTAAAAATAATGTGCGCAAATAAAAACACAAAAGCAATTAATATTTAATGTATAGTGCGTAAAAAAAAAAAAAAAAACAAAAAANTCCTGAATGACTTTTGGTCTAATGATTGCGTTTTTGGTTTCAATCATTATGGTTCTAGGGGATGGCCTCAACTATGATAATTAATTAGTGCAGACGATATTTAAAAAAGTTGTATAATTAAAATTCGATTTCTCAGGAACTATTAAACCGATTTCTCTCAAATTTTGTATTTTGCCATGTAAAATTACATACTTTAAAATGATGTAAGAAATTCTATGACTTGAAATTCAAATTTTTTTTGCCTATTACTAATTAAAATAATAAATATTTGCTAAAATATATATTTTTTTGCATGGAATTATCGTTTTATTAAGGAATTTTATAATAGCACGCAAATTTTTTTAGTTCGCTCTAAAAACTCGCTGATATGGCGCAAGACGAAAAAAGTAAGGTTAACATTAAGAGATTCAAACTTTAGATCGCTTTATTGACCAAACTGTGTAGACTTCATTTTCCATATATATATCCCCGATATTTTGGGAGTCAGAAATCCGAATCTGTCAGAAAAAAAAGTTTGTTTATTCAGAGAAAGTACGTTTTGTGTCTGATTTCGTAACTTAAAATATCGTCTGCATTAATTAGCATACTTGAAATTATCCACTTGAACCATTAAGATGGAGTTCTAGAACGTGAAATTTTTTTCTGAAAATTTTCTAGAAATTTTTTTTTTTGCGCACTGTACAATAAAGTATAGGATATTAGATACATATGTGTCACAATAAATATATGTGTATAATATAAGAATATTTAATAAGATATATAAGCATATGTAATTTGTGCCACAATAATTCTAATAAGCTGTTTTCCTAATTTTTCATTTTGGTATTTATAATTAATTAATTAATGTTTACAATTTACTTCTTATAAGTTTAGAAACCTAAATCCTTTTAATATAGCGTCAGAAAATATTAGCAATTAACTATTTTTATTTTTGTATATGTTTTACCATTGGCAATCTTGCATCCTGTACAATGTTAAAAATCAACCGGCAAAGCATAAATAGATTAAACATTTTACATATTCCCTAGCATTGTATTCAATGCCGAAAGGAAAAAAAAACGTATCAGTGAGAAACGAAAAAATATGTAAGATTATTTCATATTTTTAATTTCCATGGTTATCTATTATTATTAGTTCTATGTAATTTCATGGTGCGAAGGCATACGCTATCAGTTAAGTCCATATATTAATAATAACCCGATTTATCGAGGAAGTATCCAGGCAGGCATGTTTGAGAATTTGATAGGTATTTCCTAAATTATTTCTAAAGACTAAAAAAGTTTGCCGTTATTCCATATACTTATATTTTTCTTGAATTGATATCATTATGTACTATCAGACTTCCTTTTAAAAATCAGTTGTCATCGTATTGGGTAATGTGTACAATGTGCAAAAATGCTGCACAATGATGACATTACGTATATTGCCGCATATTACATATAGATTATATAGGATAAAATAAAACGTCATTAATAACGTTTAACTGATATCAGTGATCATTTTTTACATTGGAAAACTTGAAGAAAAGTATTAATTCATAGGAAGAGGGTGATTTTTAAAATTCCTTAAGTTCGCTGAAAGTTAATTGATAGCGCCGGTTGTCAATAACTGCTAAATAATGGATACAGCCCTAAGTGGTTAGCCAATGGACAACTAGTCAAATTTTCCTTTTGTGACATAGCTAAGTTAACCGATCATAAGGCCAAAGCGTCCCCATAAAGTTCTCTTTTTTTGTTACAAATATAAACAAAATCGACTGTGAACAACTCCTCTTAGAAGAAAGAAGGCCTCAGCATGGATCAATTTAGTAGTCCGATGTAACAAACATAAATAGCGCAGTGGATGAAAAATAAGAAAGATGTCACTACGATCGGGCAACTAAGCTGAGCAATGGTGGTAAACACGAAAGATGTCATTACGTTTGGACTACTAAAGGATCAAATTTCTTGTTTATGGTGACCCGTGCTGAGGCCTTCTCTTTCCTAGTAGGTATTACTCTGANAATTAAGAAAATTAATAAATAATTTAAATTAAGAAAATTAATAAATAATTTAAATTAAGAAAATTAATAAATAATTTAAATTAAGAAAATTAATAAATAATTTAAATTAAGAAAATTAATAAATAATTTAAATTAAGAAAATTAATAAATAATTTAAATTAAGAAAATTAATAAATAATTTAAATTAAGAAAATTAATAAATAATTTAAATTAAGAAAATTAATAAATAATTTAAATTAAGAAAATTAATAAATAATTTAAATTAAGAAAATTAATAAATAATTTAAATTAAGAAAATTAATAAATAATTTAAATTAAGAAAATTAATAAATAATTTAAATTAAGAAAATTAATAAATAATTTAAATTAAGAAAATTAATAAATAATTTAAATTAAGAAAATTAATAAATAATTTAAATTAAGAAAATTAATAAATAATTTAAATTAAGAAAATTAATAAATAATTTAAATTAAGAAAATTAATAAATAATTTAAATTAAGAAAATTAATAAATAATTTAAATTAAGAAAATTAATAAATAATTTAAATTAAGAAAATTAATAAATAATTTAAATTAAGAAAATTAATAAATAATTTAAATTAAGAAAATTAATAAATAATTTAAATTAAGAAAATTAATAAATAATTTAAATTAAGAAAATTAATAAATAATTTAAATTAAGAAAATTAATAAATAATTTAAATTAAGAAAATTAATAAATAATTTAAATTAAGAAAATTAATAAATAATTTAAATTAAGAAAATTAATAAATAATTTAAATTAAGAAAATTAATAAATAATTTAAATTAAGAAAATTAATAAATAATTTAAATTAAGAAAATTAATAAATAATTTAAATTAAGAAAATTAATAAATAATTTAAATTAAGAAAATTAATAAATAATTTAAATTAAGAAAATTAATAAATAATTTAAATTAAGAAAATTAATAAATAATTTAAATTAAGAAAATTAATAAATAATTTAAATTAAGAAAATTAATAAATAATTTAAATTAAGAAAATTAATAAATAATTTAAATTAAGAAAATTAATAAATAATTTAAATTAAGAAAATTAATAAATAATTTAAATTAAGAAAATTAATAAATAATTTAAATTAAGAAAATTAATAAATAATTTAAATTAAGAAAATTAATAAATAATTTAAATTAAGAAAATTAATAAATAATTTAAATTAAGAAAATTAATAAATAATTTAAATTAAGAAAATTAATAAATAATTTAAATTAAGAAAATTAATAAATAATTTAAATTAAGAAAATTAATAAATAATTTAAATTAAGAAAATTAATAAATAATTTAAATTAGAGAAATTAAAAAATTATCAATGGAAAAAATTTCCAGTTTTTCTTTAAAATTCCCTGATTTTTCCAGGTGTTTATCCAAATTTCCCTGATATTTCCAGGTTTTTTCCAGTATAAAAAAATTCCCTAAATTCCCTGATAATTCCAGGTTTTCAAGGTTTTCCAGGTGGGTGGCCACCCTGTCCTTAAGAGACTTTATTAAGAGATATTTAATAAAGATATTTTAAAATTTTTTTTCTCAACATATAACGTGTCGAATAATTGTGAGTTTTGTGCAATCTCTTTTTCTTTTTTTTCTCACGGAAAGTAGGAGTTTTAAATTTTTGGACTTTTAAATTAAAACCATGAAAAATTAAAAAAATTTTTTTTCCCAACTCCTCTAAACTTTTAAGTTTGTTTTAAAATATGAATCATTTTAAAAAGAAATTACACCCAATTCATCGTTAGATAGATTTTAAATGGCATTTGTCACCTAAAGTTCTCCATTCGCTTTTTTGATCAATCCTTTTAGACCTGGTTTTTAATGTTTTAATAAATTACTATAAAATTCGCCATTATTTTTTGAAATAGACGATTAAGATTTATTGTTTTGGGATCAATATTACTATTGCAATATAAAAAGAATGCGATAGTGAGATTGGTCATATGAGATGGGGTGTTAATGGTCTTAAGACGTACAATATGTTTCAAAAAGCATAGGATGTTGAATATTACTTACCGAGTACCATAGATATTCCATGCCCAATTTCATGCAAAATTATATATCCTACGGAACCTAAATTCAGCACGCTGATAAAAAAGAGATAAATTTTAAGTGTGAAATATTTTTTTAAGATTTTTAGGATCAACTACACAATAAAAAACATTAAACTTAACAACTTTAGATTATTTTCTGTACGAAAAAATAATAGCTAAATTACTGTCCAGCTTTCACGCGAATTCCTTCCTAGTGCAAATCTACGGTTTTCATCTACTATGGAACGAATAAAATCGTTTCCCATTGGAAATAATAGAAAAAAAATATATAAAATTCTCCCTACCTACATGAAAAAGAAGAGATTGACACCACAGCCTTATCCTCGTAGCCATGGTAACAGTCGGCACGCGAATCGGGTGCCTGAAGGAGTTCTCGGCATAGCTATGTAGTACTTGGAAGTTCGTTAATATATGGCTGCTTGTTTTACTTCCTTTTTATATGGTATACTTGTAAACATCGTAAGTTTGAATAGCTGAATTCTTCCTGAGAATACTTATTTAACTTAGGAAAGACTTGTTTGATACGTTCCCGTTATATGGTGGTATAGTTTTGATTATCATGCGAGACTATTCCTTGTTAACATATGATTGTTAACATTGTTTTGAGTTGAAGGTTCCAAGTGACATTTTACTGGATTGAAGAAAATTAGCATTAAAGTTTTTATGTTATCCTTTTTCTTTCTTCGTAATTTCACAAAAAAATTGTGTTTTTTGTACATTTATAATAGTTTAACATATTTGTGAAGGTATAGCACAAAGATAACATATTTGTGGAGGTATGGCTCATTTGTAAAGGTATAACGCACTGAAGGTAGCACAATTGTGAAGGTGTAGCTGTTTTGATTAGAAAACATTTCGAATGTTTCTTCAAGAATGCATCAGCATGCATTATGATTTTTATTCCATACGTACAAAAGAGATATTTTAAGAATTTAACTTTTTATGGGAAAAAAAGCAGGATGTGAGAGGAAATAAAGATTTTGTTTGGCTCTTTTGTCCGTAAGTTGTCAATTAGTAAATTCTATAAGCCTTAAAACTCTCAGTTGAACTATTCGTGTCTCAGAGTACGAAATCTTGGTGTCTTAATATGCTGCCAAAAAAAAAAAATTCTATGAATTTGAGTATTATGTTTTTAGCCAAATTCTCTTAAAATCTTCCTCCAACCAATTCTGAATTTTTTGAAAGAGGACTAGGTCCATTAAAAAAACGAAAGTGATTAAAAATCAAAGCAAATTTAAAATGGTAAAGAAAGCTTAAAATTTCTAATTATTTATGTGAATTATATACCCAATAAATAAATCTTATGAAAGTTTTTTTAAATATTTCAGGGAAATGCAAAATAATTCTTTTAAGTTCCCCTTATTCGCTTGCCATATTTAATTCAATTAAACCCCATACTCCTAGTCCGAACCTGAGGTTAAAAAAAATCTTGTTTTGTGGTATAAGTGAGTGGTTACTTTTAACGCAACAAAATAATAAATTCAAAAATATAGAAAAAAAATCAAAATGGAAAATGAATCTTGCATCAATTAATTTTAACTAACAATCAATGAAGTAAACCAATCACATAAGAATTGATTGATATTATGTTTACAGAAGTTTATAGGGACTTTAACTTTACAAGTTTGGAGTAATGAAACGTATAAATTTATGAGGAAAATATCTTAAATATAAGTAAAGATTTATAAACAAGCGTTTTTTTTAAACACACTCAGTATCAAAATATATCTAAAACTTTACTAAAATATAGTTAACTTTTGGTATACAAATTAACAAAAACTTACAATATTGCTAAAATCAGCGCTCGAAATTTACTCAGTAAAATAGCTTTAAAAAAACCCCGAAAAAGGCAATTGGTCATTTGATCTTATAACAAATAAATTTTCTGCATTAATCAAAACCCACGTCATAATACATAAAAATCCATCATCTGGTCAAATGGCTTTTAAAATTTAAAGTTTTTGTTTCGCGAACTATAAATTTAATAATGAAATTACGGAAATGATAGAAAGAATTTCTTACCTTGGTCTATTAAAGTGATAGGCTGGTGGATTAAGAATTCCATATCTAAGAACTGAATACATAGATTGTAAATAATAAGAACTCATTAAATAGTTGTTGTTTTGATTATTTTTATTATTATTTAACTATTGTTATTCATTGAATAACTTTTGTGAACAAAGAATCTTTTAATTTACAGCAAAGATTTAACATCAAATAGCTTTATACTTAAGAGGAACATATAAAATTTTGCTTTTGCTGCTGATGACAAAAGATTAAAGAACAAAGGATTAAAAAAAAGAATAGATTTTAATCTGGTATTTGTCATGTTACGTAACTCGTTACTATTTCTGTAATCTGGCCATTTACTACTATGTGACAACACTTTGCCACTTGTTAGACAATATTAAGGCAGAGGAGTGAGCTTCTTCCTGTTTTGAAGTGGCGCCATCTGTAGCCTAGAATTTGTCTACTGATGCACACATACGACATAACCCGTTTCACAGGGAGGACACATTCACGCACTATCCATCCATCCATCTGCAGATCATTATTTTGACCCGATCCCGAGCACGATCATTCTCCGATCCAGTACCCCTAAAGGTATTGATTTGTTGTGAGAACTTGAAGGACGTCGTGACCCCGATAGATTCAGCGTTAACCATCCACCATTTTGCACACGGGGAATCTTTGAACGATCAAACAGTAGACCCATTGAACATGGGCCTACCGCCCGTTCAAACAGGCAATCCAGGTCATAAAACATCAAAAGCCAAAAAATTCAAAAAGCAACAGATTTCTTTCAAATCTAGCCAAATTTTCTGTTCATTTCCGAATGTTCATTGTTCTAAAAAATCATCTGCTTTTAAATATATATCAAGAATGATAACTTTTCCTACATCTTTTTATCAACGAAGTTCTCGTTACATTGTCAACTAATTTGATAGATATCATCATTACCAACATCGCATTCTGTATCCGTTTTCCCAACAGACAAGATCTACAAGCCTCAGCAGTGCAGCCGGAGACATGACCACGAACCAAAACATGCCTACACTGCTTGCCTACTGACCATCAAAACCAACTGTACTCCGTTGCGAGTTAAGAAAAGACGATTGCGGTATAGGATTTAAGTAATCATCCGCGACAGCATATAGTTTCATTTTATTTCGTTATCAAATTATACAAATTCGCGTTCAAAGCAATATAAAAGGCTTTTAAAAATTAAACACGTCAAACAGAAATTTAATTCGTGCTATCTTTTATGATATATATCATAGAACTATTAAAAAAGGTTATAGTTTTGCAGTCTTACTGGCGACGCATTTGGTTAAATAAGGGGAACATTCGTTATTGAAAAAGAAACAACTATATGACATTACAAGAGCACTGGGTTTGATTGGACTGTTAAAAATGGCGCGACTTATGCTGACGTGCCATTAGCAAATCAGAATTTCACTTTCCTTTCGCTATAGAAGAAAATCGTCTGTAAGAAGCAATATTTATATTCCTTCATCACTTTCTTTAATTGCGAACAGAAGGGAATATTTTTATTACAACTCTTAGATTTCATTTTTATTAATTCTTATTACTTGCTCATTGTTTATTCATCAAGTTTAGTTTTCCTCATTTCGCACAATTTAAAAAAGCAAGCAAAAAGAAAGCTGTGCAACGTCGTATCGAGAGTTAGCGATGTTGATATTCGTTCGCACTAGGAGCTTGGCCTACATTTGGCAGGCACTCAGATGCAAACTGGCTCTCTCTATAGGAATAATGTTTTTTTTTTTTAAAAACTTGCAACAGAGTATAGTTGGATTCTAAATACATCAAACACTCTTCGATAATGAATTCAATGCTTGAAACATTTAGATTCTCACCAAAAACACTAGTTTTGAATGATGTAAAGTCATAATGAAGACAATAAAGATTTAGATGTAACTAGGAGGCTTCGCCCCCTGCTCGCTGGCGCTCGCCAACCCTCGGAACTGCTTTCGCAGTTCATTTCGGATTGCTTTGCAATCCGATGCTCGCTTTACTCGCTCTTTGGATACGTTCTTAACGTTTAGCTTTTGTATACTTTTTGGAACACAGAAGTTCCGAAAACTTTTCACTGTAGAAAATTCTAAACCTGTGCATTTCAATATTAATTTGAAATTGCAAACAGTTCACATATTTTTCTTAATCACACTATTCTAAATTTCAGTTGTTGAGAAAAGTAACTGTTGTAAGTTTTGTTTTAAAGTCTTTCCTACCAGAGAGCTAAAACCATGTGTTGTAAAACAATATACGAAATAGTACTAAACGCCGGATGTAAAGCATCGGCTTCGATGAAGATAATTTTGTGAGAATATTTTTGATAATTCGGTGAGAATTCACCCGATTAGCCATATGATGCTCACTACGTGCTCTTGCTCGCCGAAGCCTATCAATTAAAATGTATTAGCGCTTTATATAATATAGATTAGCCATATGATGCTCACTACGTGCTCTTGCGCGCCGAAGCCTATCAATTAAAAATAAAAACTGTTGCCAACGCGAGAAAAGAAATATCATCGGTTTTATTGATACATACGTACGTATTAGCGTTTTATATAATAAGATAGATATGATTTTACTTACCAATATGTCGTCCAAAAACAGCATTTACAACAAACATGCTGAAAGATAACGTTATAGTGATCAGTAAAAATTTTCAGATAAAATCTTGCCCGAAATAAAATAAATTTCTCTCAATATTATACTAAATTATACGCATATCCTTAAGAAAATTTTTACGCTTAACCTATAAAATAACTTATCCTCCAGATGACCCACTAGTGCTTAAGAAAATGGTGTAATATTTATTAAAAATGTATTACAGTGAAGCCTCTCGGGAGCGACTACTTTCTGTTCCGCAGTAAAATGGTCGTTAATGAAGGTTGCTCGTTCTTAGGGGTTATTTCCCTTAACCTCAAAACCTTACTGATGGTTCATGATTTTTCGCATACGATTTAAATTTTCGTTCCTGTCATTTTCTTTGCGCGGAAGTGACACTTGTGTTGACCTCATGTAATCCGGATCGATGAATGACATTTAGCTACAATAAAGATGATCCCTACTGATATGTAAAAACAAATTTACCAATTATAAAAGGGATAGAACAATTTTAAATGAATAAACAATTAAGCTTTTTTGTTTACGTTTTCATATAATTTTATATCATAAAAATTAGTTAGCTTTAAAAGATGAGAATTTGTTTGTTTAAGTGATTAGTTTTCTCTGAAATATTTTTTTTCTCATTTAACTTTCAACTCTAAAAATAAATCATTAATAGCATCGTCATTAGTGCACTCTGATTGCATCATGAGATTGTAGATCTCTTTCAAAGATCGTTAAAAAAAGCTCTCCAAATAAGAACCTCACAAATATTTTGAATATAATTTACTCTATTTATTTGTTTTGTTATTTTTTTATTTTGATATTTGGTGCTGAGGTTTGCCCGGTCGCTGGATGAGGTTTTGTTAGTCTCTCCTAAACATAAAGTCAATGTAAAAATTCCTTGCCCCCAAAAGGGATTGTAAGAAGAAAGAAGAGGAGGTCGCTACACAAAGGTGGTCTTTCTTGGAGGTTTCACAGCACATGATTTGTATAACTTTAATTTTAGCAAGGTTTTTGAAATTATGAATTACTCTTTGTAAAGGCACGTGAAGTATTTTTCCAACTGTAATAATTTTTAAATACTTATAAGAAGCTATTTTAATACCTATGATTTGAACAGCAATCTGATGGTAACTTCAAAGAAAAAATTAATAAAAGGCTTTGTTTGCATAAAAGTAGTTACAGTAAGGGTACGTGGGATCAGGAAAAGAGTCCAACACACAGGAGTTATTTTTTCTTGTATATTATGCGATCGTGCATTGGACCATTTCTCGTTGAAGTTGCACAGGCAGAATTTATAAATTTAGTAATTTATAAGAACAGAAGTGGCCGGGATAGAATGGTTGGCAAGGGGTTCAAATCTAGCCGGCTGAAGGCTCCCCGTGTAGTAAATGGTGACTGGTACACGTTAAATATTTTGGGACAAAAAGTCCTCCATTATCTCTTAACAAATTGTACCATTTGGGGTACTGGATTCGAGATTGATTGTTCTCTGGTTCAGGTCAAAATTACGACATGTGGATGGATGTATGAATGGATCCGCGCAATAAACGGGAGTGACGTTTTAGTGTGGAAGGAGTCGAAATCTTGGTCATAGATGGCGCCACTATATAACAAGAACAATCGCACTCCCTTGCTTTAATGCCCTACGACAACGACAACATAGGAACAGAAGTACAAGCTAAAGACCACTTCTTTAGAGATGATAAAATTTTGTAAATCTCACTGAAAAAATGGTCTTTAAAATTGAATTAATTTTAAGTGATAAACTAAATGAACTATTCCTTATAAAACAGTCTTTCCTAAAATTATTTAAATATTATATTAATAGAAAAAAAAATGGTCCTATGAAGGGTTTAGGACAATCATTAAAGAATACCTTGTTTTTGAATACTAAATGGTATTTAAAATAGGACATCATGGGGCAACTCTGTTTCGGTCAGACACAAAGAAAATCGTCAAACTGTTATTGACGGTATTTCTATGTATTTATGTCAATTTACGATTCTTTTTTCCAATTATTTTTAATTGTCAGCTTCGGATATTTTATTTTCTCTTTTTTCTTGTGCAAGAAGTTGAAAATTATATTTTCAATTAATTTTTTTAAAAGTCTTTTTAAAATAAATTTTTTTAAATATCTTTTTTGTAAATTAATTTTAAAAGATTTTGAATCAAATTTGACTAATTTTTATAAAAAATTCAGTTTAAAGTATAAATGATTTTTTTTCTTGGAAAAATAATTTAAACTTTGTTTTTAATGTGAAGAACTTACCTATCGTCATTAAATCTGTAAAAATTGGATGATAAAGTATGCTTCAGCTTGACCTTCTGGTATTCTAAAATGTTCCAGAAAAAATTGTCTTTGGAGGGTTCGAACTAAAAGTATATAATTTCTTTTAAAAGTTGCAAGCATAGATTAAATAATCATAGAGAGTTTTGAATCAAATGGATTAGACCTTACAGTATGAAGCTTAAAATGAAACAATAAGAAATTCTGAATTTAAAAAGGAATTCCACATTTTAACTAACAATCCAGTTTTTACGTAAACGCATAACTAAAGAAAATAATTGCTGATACTATACGTTTCTTAATCATCATCTAAAGACGGTGATTACATTTGCTGTTAAATAATATACTAAAATAATATATTAAAGTAATATATTAAAATAATATATTAAAGTAATATATTAAAATAATATATTAAAATAACATATTAAAATAATATATTAAAGCGATATATAAGTATAAATTTTCTGAAAACTTATCAAAATAAAATTTACTAAGAACTGCTCATAGAACTCTCAAATTTATGATTAGGGGTTATTTTTGCCAAAGAGAATAAAAAAGCAGTACACGAAGATTCAAATTACTCCGATTTCAAATTATATATAACTTGGCGAAAAAAATTGTTCGAACGGGTATGTATTTCCTCAATGAAAAGTGAACATACGCGATAGCACTTGAAACACAGAAGTGACAGCAGCATCATTCTCCAAGTTTATAAATAAGGTGAGAAAAGTGCACAACAGATTGCGTAAGATTTACAAATCAGTTCACATGAGAGTATTTAAAATGAATGTAATGTTGAGATAAAAAGGAAAAATCAGTGTTTTTGTGTGGCAGAGAGTAATGCGAGCGGCTGAGAGTAAAGTGAGAGTAATGCGAACATTTTTCATCAAATGGTGTTGATTATGACGAGCACTGTCTGAAACAAACGACAATGAACAAATCATGTAAAAGTTTTCGTTATTTCCGCAGATCAATAACAAATCTGAATAGTCCCAGAGCAAGCCAAGATATCCAGTTAATCTATCGTTTCTGTTAATGAACTTATTCTGCATCTTTTTTTGCACAACTTTACATAACTTTACAACTTTATATCTATCCGATTTGCAAATGCTCTCACGCGAACAGGTTAATCAGTTTGCATGCAGTTTGCATCTTTTTTTGCACAACTTTACATAACCTTACAACTTTATATCTATCCGATTTGCAAATGCTCTCACGCGAACAGGTTAATCAGTTTGCATGCAGTTTGCATCAGTTTGCATCTTTTTTTTGCACAACTTTATATAACTTTACAACTTTATATCTATCCGATTTGCAAATGCTCTCACGCGAACAGGTTAATCAGTTTGCATGCAGTTTGCATAATTTTGCATCTTTTTTGCGCAACTTTACATAACTTTACAACTTTATATCTATCCGATTTGCAAATGCTCTCACGCGAACAGGTTAATCAGTTTGCATGCAACCTATGGTGCATTCCTTTTACCTTCCTTTATGATCTTAAATCTTTTATGGTTCTATGCATTTCGGACGCTATTGCAAGTGTCCATTCTTTATTTCAGCAACCCTTATAATTCAAATAGACATGTTGTTTTTTTAAAAATTAAACCTTTTAGAACATGGAAATTTTGGCGAGATCTTTTTCCACTTTCATGAAATTCCTTAACTTCAATAAATAATTAAAAGGCGCAGCAAGGAAAATTTAATTTTTTTCTTTCTATTATTGGATTTATGAAGTCCACTGCGTAAACCAGTTGTTTTATTCGTAAATTTAATTAGGTGATAAACACCAATTTAAGATTCTGGACTTAAATTAGGATTGCACAAAGCCCTATCATTCTTAACTTATGCATATTTTTCAGGTTTTATTTTTTACTCTAAAAGCGTTTTAAATCCAGATAGTGCTTATGAACTGCATTAGGCGCTAGAAAGAGACAAATGAGTATTAATAGGAACTGGCATCCAAACTTATTTTCATGATTTAAAATTCACTCTAGGTCTGATAGAACTCAATAGTGGTTTGTCAGATGTTAAAAATTCCTTCTCTTAATTTATAACATTAACTTAAAGCTATTAATGTAGAATATAAGAAATGTATTGACTAATATTTTAAAATATCTATGCAAAAATCGGTGATTATAGAACAACTGTATGAGGATATACTGTAAGTTTTTTAGCGCAATTGTTAATTCGAATTCTTTTAAATTTAAATATTTTTTTAATTGAAAGGAAAAAAAAAGCTAAATTATGTTACTTTGTAGCTTTGGTGGAAAATAAACTTGATATTTATTTATTACTTAAGGTTAAAAAAAATTAAAAAGAAAATTGTTTTTAGATTATTGACTTTATTTTTAACGAGTCGTAATACGAGGGTTGTAAATTAAATAGTGGCAACTTAACCTTGAAACTCACAAAAGGGCGTTTCTCAAAAAGTATTTATCTTGTTGGTTTAATTTCTATATCACGTAAAGCTGGCTTATTTTTTTGAAAGTATTTATCTTGTTGGTTTAATTTCTATATCACGTAAAGCTGGCTTATTTTTTTGAAAGTATTTATCTTGTTGGTTTAATTTCTATATCACGTAAAGCTGGNTCAAAATAGTACTGGAATTACTGATGTTTGAACCCTTACTAATTTAACATTAAAAGTAGTTACCAGGAATCAATAAAAATTAATAGTTTTTTGTATTAAACTGCTCACTTTAGTTCTTTAAAAAAAAACTACTACGGCTACGATAGTTTCTTTACTCGTAACACATTATATCTTACCAGTTTCATATTTTTTGGGAGGGTTTAAGGGACAAAACCTCCACCAAAATTAAACATTTCCTGGTTGACAAATTATTGTACGGTAAGTAGGATGTAAATATAAAAAAGTTTAAAGTTATGTTTAAAATATAAATAAATGTTTAAATATACATATGTAACACACATGTATCTGACGCCACTGTATCTGACATGTAACTATGCAACTGTATCTGACTGCTGGGCATATTTATAAAAACTTTAACTTATCATTTTAAATTGTTTAGTTTCATATTCTTTTATTTTAGGCAAAAATCAACATCCAGTCACTAGACCCAGCATCTCTTCAAATGAATATAGAAATTTTAAAACATTTAATAGAATCATGCACAAACAAGGAAGAAGTACCACTCTCATCTCAGTCTCTCACCAATGTAAGTTTATGATATGTAGTTGTTTCTCTCTAATGTTATTAATACAATCTTTCTTTAACACAGCTACTAAGTCTATGGAATTTTCAATAGACTGCTAGATTTTTTTCAGTTTTCTCCAATTTTTTTGATGTAATCAAGATTATCCTGGTTTTTTGTTAAAATAAACTTCTTAAAGGAAGTTCCTGCAAAAAATATTTGCCCAAATGAAAGCTTACTTATTATATTACTTGCTTGGGAATTTAAATTTGCAATGCAATAATGATTTTATTGATAGAATAACAAATATTTTTTGTATTGAAATAAAATTTAGTGGGACAAATTAATTTATATAAGAGCAGTGTTGTGTATCTCCATTTTGTCAAGTATTTTATGCTGAAGAGGAGATGCAAAAAATTTTTAAAAAGAATTTTACCTGAATTCAATATTCGCTTTCAATTTATGAGGATGTCGCAAAACTTGATCCACCACTTATAATGACCACCTTCTTAATACCCACTTATAATGACCACCTAATTAATTGTACAATTTATTTAAAACAATATATATATATATATATATATTCCTTTGATTTTGCAACTTAGCCGCCTGAATTAATTAAAATATCTTAGGTAGTTGTCTTCTTAACTTATGCAAAATTTAGTATCTATATTAATTTCTAGTGTTAGTATCTTTGTATCTTTTAATTTTATTGTTACTGATACACTTGTACATGAGTAAGTATAATTAATATTTAAAGTCCACTTTCAATCAATATCATTAATTATCAAGGAATAGGGACAATAATTATCAGATTAGAAAAGAATCCTAGAAAAGGCCAGGACCCACTCCGAGCTGTCGCGTCAGTAATAATGGATTATATCTCTTAAAACAAAACCTTAGCTGCATGACAGTAGATTGGTCTCCTACCAGCATAAAGATGATGAGTTAGTTGGGTTAACAAGTCTTAGTTTGAAAACTATCAATACCGGGACGGGTTGTTTACGAAGTATAAGTAAAGTATCTAAAAATCCGATCATTGAAGGAAAAGTTATGCAAAAAGGAAAGTTTGTTATTTTGAGATTGTAATAATTTTTAGACAAAAAAAAATTGTTTTGGAGCATACAATGACTGTTAATAAGCAGAGAAAAACGAAGAAAATTAAGAAAAATAATAAGTTTTATTAAATTTACTTATATTATTTTAACTTATTTTTTGAGTTCTATATACTTACAGCTTATGCGCAATAAATAAAACTTATTATTTATCTCACTTTTTTTCGTTTTCTCTCTTCTTTTAATCCCTTTTGAGCTATATTTTAACTTTAATCTTTTTAATGTGGAAATTTAAAATGGTGTATTTTGTTTACCAGTTCATGAAATGCTCGTTTTGTTGAATTATCAATCCATTCTTGCTCTACAGTATAATTTCCTGCTTTAATTAGGAAGTTTTTAAACATATCATTTATCTGAAATAAGGAAGAAAATGTATTCTTAAAACTAATATCAGTAAAGTAAATTTAAAAAACAACATTTCAAAGTAAGAAAAAAATTTTTTTTTTTCACTTGAGTATAATTTCAATAATTTATGTAGTTTCAAAAATGCTCTAATAACTAGCCAAATTATTATAATAATTTTTCTCCTCTATTTTAATGATGTTGCAGAATTAAAATTTCCTAATTTTTCAAACATGCTTAATTTATATTCTTCTGTTTTATGACCTTTCATTAATATTTGGTACGACCATTTTTGCCTGAATTAAGGCAGTGATTTGACGTGTTATGAAATGTATTTTATTTATACTCTCCATGTTTTGTATTATTACAAAAATAAAATAAAACAAAATCTTCAATCAGAATTTACTGGTTTTTTCTTCAGAACAAAATTCATTTTATCAAACAGTAATCAATACTTAACCACCTCAATATAATATTTTGACTAAATCTTTATTGTTCAAACACTTTTATAAAATTCTGGTTCTATTATAAAGTTTCAGATATTTTCTGAGCGTGTAGCATATCCTTTAACAATAAGTCACGAATTTTATTTCGTAGGAGATATTGTTCACAAATTCAAATGAGAGAACAGTACTTATAGTCTTTGTAATAGCATGATAAGGTGTAACCACGTATTTAATTAAAACAAAGTAAATAAATAAATACATTCATATATGAATGAATGCATTCATTCATCTGTATGAAATAGACTAATTTTTAATCAATCCCCACATTACAACTATTATTTTTAACTGAATTTGATGCATAGATGTGTGTCAAATTAAGTAATGCAACATTCAAGACTAAGAAATAAAAGTTGCAATTGTGTGTTTGAGCAAATTATAAGGAACAGTTAAGTACCTAATAAATGGTTTGAGAATTAATGGTCTATTAATAAGTACATCCTCTATTAATAGTGCTATAAATATACACTTTTCCATGATTCGTAAATTAAACGCAAATTTTGGGGAAATAGGTAAAATCAATGCGCTTTATACGTAAATTTTACGTAATATGGAAAAAATGAAAAAAAAAAGCTTTGGTATATTTTGCGTAATATTAACGGAATGGATTTTATCAACTACCATTCGGTAAGATTGTTTTCGTATATTTTGCGAACGATTAACGAAATAATATTTACTATTTAGATGTAGTAAAAACGATTCTGTGTACTTAACGTTATATTGACGAAGCAAATTTATCATTTAAATTTCTGTTTGAATTTATTTACGCAAATTTCTGCTTTTTAGATAATCACTTTTCTGTATAATTTGGCGTTCCAACTTATGTACATTTTGACATATTATTGACGTATAATTATTTATAATTTGATGTTTCAGTTCTACGCAAGTTTAAGGAATGCTTTGTAAAATTTAACCGGAACTATACGTATTTTTGAAGTAAAATTGATGGTTTTCTGCTACTGAGCTTACTAATAGTGTAATAAATATGAAATATTATTAAGCATGATAGTTATGTTATGAACTCTAACTATTTATTGGAGGTGAAATGTTTGGAAGTCGCAGGTTAAATGCTGGAAGAGCCACAAAGTAGTGAAAGCGCTGAGTGGCTTTTAATTAGGTTCTGGAGTTCGATCTCCGGTAGCAGCTTGAAGCTTTCTCATCTTCAGATTGAGAATTCTGGAATGTTTGGTAAGTAAGTTGGCTATTGCGTAATGCTGATTGCATTGCCATCATCTTACCGATGGACTCAAATGGACTCAGGCCCACAGCGGGATGTTTCAGGAATTACATTCTTAAATGCTGGAAACAAATTGTTTTCAAAATATTGGATAGAAAGAAAAATAAGAATGAAATTGTGCATTAATACAGCATACTCTTCGATAGCTCAAAGTTGAAGAGACGATAAAAAAAAATTCGAGATAGCGATTTTTGAGAAAACAAGTTCAGAACGAAATATGTTCTGAAGAGTTAAAAAATATATTCGAAAATATTATTCTAAAAAGTAGTCATGAAACATAAGAATAACTACAATTAAATAGGTATGTATTTCTAATTTTATTTTTAAAAGTAAGACAAGAACAATTATGCATTCATTAGAAAATAATTGTTTTAGAATGAACTTACATTATGACTGTTCCGAAAAACTTCATCTTTTATTTCGAAAAAAATTCAACATAGCAAAGTTTTGAGAAGAAACCCTTCGACATAGGAATTCAAATTAACATTAGGTAGATACATAATGCCAAGGGAAAAAATATTTTTTTGACAAAACAAGGTTTATAAAACAAAGGTATGTTTCTTGATGGTCCCATCAAATCATTTTGATGGTTTATGTCTGTTTCAGTGTGATTCATGATGGTTCAACATCATTGGATGGTTACCATCATTTAGCATTTCCCATTAGCATTTATGGTTTCTTATATACCAACAAACTTCCAGCAATCCAAGATGAAAAATGCTACTTTAATACTACTATGGTTAACCATCAGAAGAAGTTTGAGTCTCATGGACCAATAATCCATGATGATCCATGATGGTCCATAATGGTTCCAACTTTACATTTCCATGATGATTTAATGGGAATTTTTGTTGATTCTCAGCAATATACCATCAAAACAATTTGGTTTTTTTCTAACTGGTGGTTCATGATCGTTCTAGCATTTAATTTCTAAGAAACTATGATGGAAATTTCTGATGGTTTGACATGAACAAACCATCAAAACACGTTGCTATTCTTATGTTGAATTATCATAAATCAGTCCGAATTCCTTAATTGAGGTGATGGTTACTTATGTTGGTTACCATCAAAAAATACAATGGTTCATGATGGATTTATTGATGGTTTCTATCAAGATTATGTTGGTCCTTCAATGCAAAACCATCAAAAATTTTGATTTGGGTTTTGATAAATTGAAGTTCGAGACATCGAGAGTATACTGTAGCTCCTTTTTCCAACTTAAAAGAATTAGTAAAAAATGAATTACTCACGTCTTCTCTTACTTCAAGAGGCATGATGTCCGAAATATATAGCAAGGCCAATGGTTCGGACATGGCTACAGCCATCCAGGATGCGCAATGTTCTCTCTTATTTTGAGGATGACGGGCAAAAAAATGGCTGTAACCTAGGCTACCATCTTTAATAACATGATATTTCATCGAACGGAAATATACGTTCATTTCCTTCATGTGTCTAATGAAGAATCGTAGAGCTAAGAAGTTCGCTATAGATCTAAAGATGATGATGAAGGTTTAAGTATTTTTCAATAAAATTTAAAAGATACTGTAAAATATGTACAAAATAAATGAAAAATATGATCTATGTTTAAAGAGGGAAATTATTTTATACTTAAACACTTCTTGAAGAATAGAGAATTTTATCAAAATTGCTTTTAAGTTGTGTAAGAATAAGTTATTGTTAATAACATATTTTTTTATGTTAACAATAATGATAAAAATGGAACAGCATGAATGGAAAATGGAGTTAGGTTAAGTTTTTCTATGCTTAACCCTTTGGCATATCATTTCTTGATATAGAAATGATTGTGGGGGCGGAGTTATCGACAATGCCAACCTTCATCTATCAAAAGGTACCTCGTGATTGAATCAAGTTAGCATGTCTTATATACCAGTGAATTGATGTTTAATTTTCGTAGTGGTAGTTACGCCACAATACTCCCCCACCAGAATTTTATCAGGGATAGAATTCGATGAACGGATCTCACTAGTTGCTGTACTTGTGAAAGACCGGGAGAGCCGGAATTAAGATCACCGGGTTTTTGAGTGCTGAATGTGAGAGGTGTATTAACTTCGCAGTCGTAGTCGCTCCTGTGTTGCCATTAGCAGTCGAGTGTATGCAGGCAGACGTTGTGTTTAATCGAGACGAGACTGAGCAGCAACAGCGTGGGAGGTGGATAATGTCGCAGTCACAAGTAGCAAGTCAACTGTTCAATGTGGATCATCCAACGAAGTAGGCGTTACCGTCAAGTTATTTAGCGAAGTGGGAGTAACTGCGTGTTCAAATCGCGTCCGGGTCACCACTTATCTTTGGCGAGAAATCGGTTGCGTTTATTATAAGTCTGCATTTTTAGTTAAGTCTGCCGCCAAAGATAACAAAAAGGAGAAATTCTAAATTTAAACATAACTTTAATAAAAGCTTAACAACAAAATTAAAAACATTCAAGAATAATCGAGTAAGTAATAACTGAAGAAAAACGTAAAGCAGATTACGAAAAGAGAAAAGTAAAGAAAAGAACAAGGTATCACGATGGTTTCGATGGTAACGAAGTCTTACGATGATCACATTTTATTTCTTGAACCTCAGTTCAGTTCAAAGAGATTACGAAAAATACTTTGAGCGTATGTTGAAATTTTCAGGTTCGCCAGAGCATGAACTTCTCGAATCAAGTACGATGATCACACCACATAATCTTTGATTGCACTGTAGACAATATCTCGCAACGGAATGTTGACAGAGATGCCAACTGCTTCTAACATGCCAAAATAATTTTAAAAAAATGGTAAATAACTACAAACTAGATTTTGCCTATATTTGACTATTTTTGCTTGCTTTTTAAAAGGCATAGCATGATATAACTACTATAAAGTGGTGAATTATATAAGCCTACGAATAGGGGTGGATAAAAATCTACTAAATTGAATTTATTAAACCAAGACTCACAATTGATAAACTACCACTTTAAAATATTTTGTTGTTGTTCGAAGCAAGTTGGCATCTCTATGTTGAAGACGTGTGAGACACGTCAATTATTGTTTTGACATAAGAAACAAATTACGTCCCTCAGACGTCTTCGTATGTCAAGGGGTTAAATACTAAAAGTGAAAACGTGAATGAAATTCATAGTTTGGTTAACTTTTCATCTACTAAGCCTTGACGCAGATCTCTCGTCTCTCTTATATATTTTGTGGTGTATCTTTTATATATTTTCTTTCACTCTTCAATTACAAGCAGAAATTTATTTTGGTAGCTTTTAATTATTAAAAAACAGCTTAACAAATACTAAAAAAAATCAGTAAGATTATTGGGATTATATTTCTACTAAAATATAAAATACAAAAAAAGTAATTTGAATTCTTTTTTCATTCATATTTAAAAATGTATCAAATTGATTTTGTACATTAAAGAAATTTTGATGATGAATAACTGTTTCGCTTAGATCTAAATAACTGCAAATAAATGCAATTATTGTTTGGAATTGAGCCGTATTTGAACATTTTACCATTAACACAGAAAAAGATACCGGTGTTTCGCTTTATATTTCATAACCATAAATTATTAAAATGCTTTATGCAATATTTTTTTCATTTATTTTGATCGAAATTAATAAATGAAAAAAAAGGAAATGCAAAAAAATGGGAAAAAGATATTTAAAAAAAATGTCTTATGATTTCTTTGATTATCGTATTATTAAAAATGAAGTCATTTTCAAATTTTTTTTTTTTTAACTTATGGAAGTGTCTCACTCAAAAGTTTGAAGTGGTTATATAATTAGCAAAATAATATAATCATTATTTACTGTTATTCTAATAAAAACGCTTTTAGATTTGATTTTAATCCATAAATAATGTCCATAATTCGTTTTCAAATAGTGAAAATATAATATTTTTACCTCAATAAGAAAGCGAGATAAGACTTAATTTAATTTTTTCCCCGTATTAAACATGAAATGTTGGGAAGTTCCTGCTTCATGACAAGTTTTAATTTTGTTTTTCAACTTTAGAACAATACATTTCAAAACCTTTTTCTTTTTCGTTAATTTATTTCCCAAAATTTTTAAAACATTTTAAAATTTCATTTTATAACTCACTTAAATGATAGAGAGACAAAATATATCAGCTTAATTTAGGAATCGTTAAAAAAAAATTAAAATTTCTTAAGTTTTTCAATATTTAAAAATACTTAAGAAAAACAAAGCGGAAGTCTTTGTTCAAAATAACTTTTATTAATTTTAAGGTAAAACTTGTTTATTACATTTAAAATTAGAGTGTTAATTTTTAAAATTTGTAAGTTTTAAAATTTTGTATGGATTTTAAATCGTACTCGTCCTAAATAAAATTATTTAATTCAGTGTTTTTGATAAATATTGTATTGTACATGGTAAACATGGGAAGATTAGGAAGTTTTTCTCACATTTTATGTGACAAAATACTTAAATTTGAAATTAAATTAACAACTGCTTTGTTCCAAATCAGCATTAATTTATAATTACATCAACGATAAATTAATAATTACAATATAATAATTTATTTATCAATATGCAAATAAAATTTTTACAAAACCCGATAATTATAAAATACAATAAAATCCATAATCGTAAAAAATATATATATATTTTTTGCATTGTACAATCGACTTACCTATGTGTATAATTCTTTAAGATCGAATAAAGTCCAAAAACTTCGTCTGCTTCTTGAACTAACACGAACTTTTTTGTAAACTCATTTTCTAATCCAGTATGAGTTATAAAGAATTTTAAAATGTTGCAAATAAATGTCTGAAAAAGAGTAAAATGCGTAAAACGCAAAGTTATCCATTTTATTACAAAAGAACTTGCAACAGTAAAATGAAAACAGCAAATGGAAAATGTTGCTAACGCTTAATATTGTTTTACTGTTGTTAATCTAGTTTCTCCAACTATGCTCTTTGAGTGTTTTTGCCGTCAAACATTTTGTAACTTAAAAGCAAAACAAAAAACGCCAACAATACTTTAATTCTGGGATTTTAAATTTTAAGGGCTCTGTGTGAATGGTTAAAAAAATCGAGAGAAAGGAAATACTGGAATAATTTTTTTCTTCTTCTATGCAACTTTTTTAGAATATTAAGATAAAAAAAAGTGTTTTTCACTATTACCTTAACGTTTTTTCTCTAAAGATTAACGAATTTAATCGTTTTTTTTTTTAGTTTCCTTATTTATGATACAGAATGGTTGCAATTGAAGTGATCCTATTCAGTCCCTTCCAGAATCCAGTTTCACTTATTGAATTTTGATGATATTCTGTTTATTTATAATATAGACTATGCGAAAACGATATCTGCAATAGAAATGGTTCTAATTTTGATAACTAGGGGGAATGGTGGCTCCGTCAGATTCATCTAAATCATTAAAATTTATTCAGTTGCAGAATGTGCTTAACGTGTACTCCATTGACATAATTGACGTGGTAAAATCTCATAATAGCAAGTTCAATGGTAGAGTGAAGAAACTCTCGAGAGAATTCAACAACATAGTGTGCAGGTTTCCAACTCGGGAAAGTCTTAATTCCTCCTTCTTAAATATTTTGATGATCCCCACCAGCAGAAATCATTGGGATTTTAGTCAGATGACCGAGAGGAGGCGAGGCATCCGGAAAATCTCTGGATCCGGAATCGCTAAAGTTAGTACGAAGCAGTTTTATAAATTAGAGCCCAAAGTAGGGAATTGTTCCCCCTTTCATCAAGACAATGGCATGAAAACATTGCAGTTCATGTAAAGCCCTGCTGTCGAAAGAATTCACTGAACCACGCACTTGAGACAGAGTAGTTGTAGGAAATTGAGAAGTTAGAATTTTGAAGGAAAATGATCCGAGGATAAAATCAGCCTTAAATCCACACAATACAGTCACGTAATCAAAATGCAGTGGTTGTAGGCACAGGACATCAGGAGGTGAAACAACACGCATGTGGCACTTTTGATTATTCACAGCTCCACCCAAAATAAAGTGAGGATCATCTGACCATAGAATTCGCCAAGCATCATCAACCTTCATTCTCGCCAAAAATCAGCATGCAAATATTCAGAGCATGTTTTGAGCTCTTTAGGTAGCAGAATTTGCATCACGTGGATATTATACGGACACCACTTTAAAGTGGATCGCAGATTCTTCGTACTGCTGACCACGGAATCGGTAACTCGCGTGCCTCCAATCCACCACTTGCTGAAGAATGACTGGAACTGGACGCTCTTCGACACGAGTAAGCTGGTAACTGGACGCTCTTCGATATGAGTAAGCTGGTGACTGGACGCTCTTCGATATGAGTAAGCTGGTGACTGGACGCTCTTCGACACGAGTAAGCTGGTAACTGGACGCTCTTCGATATGAGTTTTTCGCAATACCTTTAAACGAAGATATCCACGGAGGGCAGCTCAGCAATTAATAAAGCTATTAAGCAACTAATGAAGCCAAGAAATTAATAAAACAGCTTTACCAGTAAAGCTTCTTTCCTCAGTAAGGTCATAAGTAGCGATGGCAAAGTCACGTGGAATAATTTTCTGGCTTTAACTGCAAACTTCAAGTCTCTTTATATATTTGAACAAATTACGTAAAGAAGTTTTGAAAAATCCCCATCTGGTAGTCAAAATTTGAACTATTTTTTTATTGCAGAAATTTTTGCCCTAAGTCCATCCCTATACGCCAAATTTCGTAAAGTTTTAATAAGTAGAACGTAGACTCAAATTATAACTCAAATAGTAGTATCAAAAGTAGTCTAACACAATAGATCTCCATACTTGCTAACAAACGTGAAATTTGATAACTTAACATAATATATTAACGCATGAACATTTCTACTTACGACGTTATCGCTTTCTGTCTCTGCACACCCCCACAGTTTAGGCTCGTAATTGCGTCCGTAATCTGTAAGGTTTTTTTCAGCCTCCTTAACTTTATTTACAGCAATTTGAGAAGCTGTAGTATCATTCACTGCACTTTCAGTCGTACTTGCATTTTTATTTTCAACACCGTAGACATCGAAGAACAATTTATTCTAAAAATAGAATTTTTAAATATTGTAAAGCTGCTATTGACTCAATTAAAAAAAAAGATTTTTTTAAATCAAAAATTTACATTTTTAAATTTGTTATTGCTAAATTAAAGAACAAATTTTCAAATTATTTTTCATAAATCATCATTTTATAAATTATCTTTTATAAATCACAAACCGAACAAAATTAGGAAAAGTAGACACTGAATTTCAAGATGAACAAAGATGAGTTGGCCCAGTGTCCAAATAAGACCTTCATATTATTCTAAACTGAATATACTTGCTCACAACGCATTTACTTCATTTTTAACTTTCCGACCACCACCTAATAATATTTTAATTTCTGTCGGCGCCTAGCACCTAGTTTTAACTGATAGACGCAAGCGTTGCCGGTTTAGATTCACGGATTGATGCCATATTTTTACAAATTATATGTGCGTTTTTTTATAGTCTTTCTCTACGTGATCTGAATATTATATTTTAATTGATGGAATTACTTAAAATCTTTCTCTAACCACCAATCTGTACTTTGTTTAGAGAATCTCATATTTATGAGCTGGTTCCTTTTATTTATTTTCCTGATCATCATTTAATTATTTGGTTGTTGAAGCACACTGAGAGGATTTAATCCTAGACTACGCCCCACATGGGTCTCATGAGATGCATTCAGAGAGGATTGCTAAGTTTCAATCTTTAGTTTTTTGCATTGATTTATCGAAGAAATACTAATAAAATTATAATCAAGGACAGCGAGTCGAGAGCGTTCGTCTCCTAATGAGGTGACACAGGTTTGAGTCCCTGCAATGGCTGGTCGATACGAATCCCACATCCGCAGAAATTAAAATATAATCAGGTGTTGGTTGAAATTCATTGTGAGCAAGTATATTCAGTTTAAAATAATGTGAAGGTCTTATTTGAACGTTGGGACAACTCATTTTCGCTCATTTTGAAATTCAATGTCAGCTTTTCCTTATTTTTTTTTTCTTTTTTTGATTTATGGTTCTGTTTGTGCAATAGAAATAAGCTGGAGGTGTTTTAGTTTTAAAATATAGCTGGAATGACTTATATGAAAAAAGAAAGTAAGGCTTTTATCTCAATAATGGAGTTGACGCATTATTTAAATAAGGTCTTGATATAAAGCAAAGAATGTATTTTTATCGTTTCAATTTAAATTACTAAATAATTAGATAACAAAAAAATTTAGCATCGTAAAAATAAAAAATAAAAATATTACAGTTCCTTCAGATATATAGTTTCATTCAGATAATGCAAAATGGGATTGAAAAAAAAATTATCAATTTATTGTACTACTTGTAAGTTTCATGCATTACAAAGCAGAATATCGTTTCCTTAAGTGCAAATAGTTAATTAAATCTAGCAACAGTAACGTTTAGTCTTATCGCCTTTTCCCACAACTAGGATTTGTACATTTTTCTAGTTTATACTTGAAAATATCTGTTTCTAGACTATTTTTATCTAGCCAATCCCGCATATTTTATGAACAATAATGTTTTTTAACTCTTAATTGTTTTTAAAATTTGATTTCGTTGATATAAAAAAAAATATAGAAACCGCTAGCGAGGCATCATAAATATCCTTCTCAATGGTTTTGAAGCTTTCCCATTCTTCACTGATTTTATTTTCATTCATTTTATGGTAACGCAATGTTTTCTTGACAATATCTTCATAACCATCAATATATGAGCTATTACTTTCGCTGTTACCTTTAACACTGACCTAAAATTAAAAATTTCAATATTATTTCAAATACAACAAAACCCGGCTCTTGAAAAAAAGAGAGAGCTAAAAACAACACTGGTAGAAATTTCGCTGCAATAACAGTTAAATAGCAATTTATTTAATTGTTATTAACAGTTAAACAACCATAAAAACATAGTTAAACCGTAAAAAAGACAATACTAAAACTATAAATTGTGAAGGAAATAAACGTTTTTTTAATTGTTTTTACCTCATACGGTTTAATAATCAGAATTCTTTCCGCGCCAATTAGGCCCAGCTTACGAAGCCATTTTGTTTTGCGCAGCTATGTATATACTGTAGCTGGAAGGGTTAATCGGGCAATCTCATGACCGGCTGACCATGGATTTGAATCCCAGCGTTGATGACACAATATTTCTTCCATTCTTTCAATACAAGTTCCCAGTATCCTACACTCTTCAGTGACTATTAGAATACGAAAATATCATTCCCGCATAAATGGCGCAACACCCACAGAGCTCCAATAGCCGTTCAATCTTTGTTTTTATGGTTTAGTAACGATGCTAGTTGTAAATGGTTACAAAACCGAATAGTTTTGTATTCACGGTCGTTTAACCGTACCAGTTGTAAACGGTTTCAAAACCATGAAGGCAAAGAAATGTTCTTAGCCATAAACTTCAAGGTTAATCGGATGGGCAGATTGCTACCGGTTATTTCACCTTAAAATCAAAATGAAAATTCGAACAGTGTATAAAAGCAGTGTCTAGGTTTACACAGCCTATGTGGAAACAGCTGGTAATAAACCCCAATTGTGCAAGTTGTTAAAATAATGTTTTATCCATTATGTATTTAAAGTATTTTTGTTGTTTTATATGTAAAATGTATTATATGTAAAAAAAAACTATGTGTAAAATAGTTAAGGCATTAATAGTAAATCAATGCCTGCTTAGGTTATGTCTTTTTTTCAACTATCGGCTTTCTCAATCGTGGTTGATAATGCATAGCTCTTGCATCTCCATGAATGAATAGCAAGCTAGGTAACGTCTTGAATTTTTAACAGATTTAGTTAAAAACGTGACAACAAGCAAACAATATTCCGCAATAATTTCTCCAAATATACATTTTTAACCTTTGTCAAACATGAAGTTAAAAAAGTACGCACAATATAGTTTTCAAATCAATATTTAAGTTAGGTAAAAAAGAAAAACTTTATTAAAGCTTAACAAATTATTAACAAAGAAGATAGGGACCTTCCTACAGTGTGTCCTGTTTAAATAAAGCCACATTGATTTTGTGCTATAACTGGACACAAATAAATTCAATGGGAATCAAAGATATATATTAAGTAAGTTAACATCTAAACAAGTATTTATATAAAGTAACTAGCTTCTTGCTTCACTTGAACAGGGAGAAATCGAATGGGTAAAAAAAAAAGGAAGGATAAAATTGTCCCACCGAAATTAAGCCACTTTTGAAAATATCTGCCATATTCTTATATGATTTAAAATATGTGATGTTGCATGCCATGTACCAAGCCCAGGAGGACAGTAGCATTAATGTTGTGTCAAGTTTCAATAATGGCAGTTTTTAATTCTACCACAGACGGAGGCTGTTTTTTTTCTTGAAGGGAACAACATACAGCATTACTGAGAATTAGCCTTTCATGTTTTATTGTTGCTTGATATCAGGAGGGGGATGATTGCTTGAGCTTGAGATTATGACATGTACCCTATTATCCAAAAACCATTGCATCAAAGATTTGGCAACGTAAATGTAGGCATTCTCTTGCTGGAAAATCCAACTTGGCTACACAGTTAAGAAAAATGTTCAAATGCCGGTAAATGAGCTACTAGCACTTTTTGATGAGTGGTAATCCTCATGCGTTTAGGAAGAGAGGTTAGTTTATCAACATAGCCGAAGCCTTCCTATAGCCTTTATGAGCCTTCACATTTCTGTTTATTCGGAGAAAATTTTCTGCTTATTTCTCTCATGTACTGTTTCAATTCACATATCCGACAAGAAATTTGCGATATAAAAAAATTTAGCAGTGGAAAACGTTGAAAGCTGCCCACTAGCAAAGGAGAGTAGACAATAAAAGAATTAACATGACGCAGACTGTCTGTGCTATTACAATGATATGAGAAAAGAAGATTTCCTCTCTGTTACAGAGCAAGGTGGAGGCACAGTATGTGATTTCATCCATGGTGGTGGACTTAATCTAGCCTCTCTCTCAGGTCGCATGAAGGCTACCGATTACCAAAACGTTCTAGAAGCTGATCTGCTAGAATTTGTAAGTAGAATTGTTGTACCAAGTCGTATTTTCCAGCTGGAAATACATATATATTATTATTGTTTATATTATAATATTAGTATGCAATATTTTATGAGATATGATCATTTCTACACACGTGCAATAAACTGAGAGAATCAGGACTTTCCGATTTTCTTTGCGCTTGAAAAATGAGGAAAGCGTATTCGTCATGTGCTTCCAAAATAGCCAACGTTTCTTCTAATGTTGGCGAGTTGAAATAGAAATCGTCAGGTAAATGAGGCCAATCTCCTAGCCCAAGACGATTCAAAAACTCCGATATCGTTTGCATTGCATTGATTTCAGATGCAGCTGAAATGTATAAAGAGAATTTAATACCAAATGAGCACGAACACTTTATTAAAAAAGCACATTTAATTTGCAGAATTAAATAAATGATATAGAAAATCATTTTGTGAATATATTTAATTTTTTAACTGGAAAATTAATTTTTTTTAAATTTAAAAAGTAATTTTTGTTTTATTTTTTAATAAAAAATATTTTTAAATATTTTTAAAAAAATAATTTTTTAAATACAGTAGAATATAATTTCTGTTTTTTAAAAAAAAAAATCTGTTTTTTTTATTAAAGTTAATATCGAAGTGTTTTGCGTTTTTTCAGGTATATGCATGTGTAATGAAATGATGTAAGATACAATGACATTAAAAAAAAGATGTGTTTGATATGAAGATTTGTTGTAATTTAGGTTTGTAATATTTGATTGAAGTGAAAGTTCTTATAAAAAAATCTTAACTTAACTGAAACTCATGCAGGATTCGAACACTGTTTTCATCTTCTCCGCGGAACTATTTGCAGAACCATTCACATTCTGTAACATATCTGAAATAGTCAATAAAATAGTTCTTAAAGTCTTCTGAAATAGTTAATAAACTAGGCACAAATTAGGCAACTTACCTGCCCCTAGGAGAAAATATGCCATTAAAATTTCAGTTCATTTACTTCTAAATTAAAAAACTTACAGGCTGACGAATAAAAGTGGTGCAACAGTTAGGCTGTTCGCTTTCTGCGGAAGAGGTTCGAGGTTCATTCCCAACCAGGAGAATAAAATTTTGTCTCTACGCAATTTATTTTTTCTAAAAAGATAAGTAACTATTTACTATGCTTTATTCAATTTTTGAATTGTTGTTTTTTTAATTAATTTTTTTTAAAAGCTGTTTTAAAACAAAAAAAAATAGATATTTCCTTTTAATAAAAATATATGGATAGTTCAAAAAAACAATTACAACATTTTTATTTAAATTATAAATTACATTTTTTAAATATTCCATATATTTTAATTAAAAAATTAAATATCTATTTGTTTTTTAAAAAAATTCATTTAATTTAAAATATAAAAATTTATAAATTGAACAAAAAATATTAAATGACTATCAACCTTTTCAGAAAAGAAAATCAAAGATAAAATTTAATCATCCTAGCTGGGATTTGAACACTTGACCTCTCTGTTAGAAGGCGAACAGCTAAGCAGTTTTACCAGGAATACCCAAAAACTAGAAATTTTTTTGTTAATTTAAAAGTAAATGAACTGAAACTTTAATGTAATTTTCGAGAATTCCCTTGCAATCATTGAACTTCATTAAAGCGCTGAGCAATACTTTTAAAAATTTTTACATGGCAATACTTTTTACAAAAGTAAGAAATACGTACTATTACTTGTACTTTGTTACGTTTTAATTTAAGTACTTTTACTCTTTTTTTCGTTACGTTTTTTGGAAATAGGTATAATTGTTTGTAACTAGAATGTCAAAAGAAATCATTAATTTTTTAAAAATTTTTTTAAAGACTTTCGTCGAAAAAAATTTTAATTATTTTTTCTAATAAATAAAACAAATAATTTCAATATTTTGTTTTCATTTTATACCCATTTTTGAACATTTATGCTCATCATACGATTAAAATTTAAAAATAAAACTTCTGTGCTTAGTCTTTTATTAGTGAAAAATTAACGATAAATTTAAAAATCGTCATTATTTAAAACTCAAAAATAATTTCTTCTAAGTTTCATGAAAATGAAAAATAATTATTAATTTAAGGAAGTTCAAGGGGTTATCTATGCATGAATACATTTATTTTACTTTTTTATCTATTTATTTAAACAAAAAATACAATGTTATCGAATTCATTCATCAAATTACTTTATTACTACGAATTCTTAAATTAAAACAAAATTTCTAAAGATTTGGTAGTTTTGAAATTAACATAATTTAAAACTGTTTATTGAATTTTGATTTCTTTTTTGGTTTCTGGGTATTTTCATCGTTCATTATTTCAACGAATTTCGTAACATTTTCCGACGTTTTAAATTTTATGTATTTAAAATAAAATTTACTGCATTTTAAATGAAGAAAAAGTATTTTTCTTGCATTTTTTTAATGAAATTAATGGTTACTGCGAATTTTCAATTTCCTCGAAATATACTATAAAATCGTTACTTTTTCGTTTTGTACTTGTACTTTTTTCTCGTCACTTTTACAAATCAAACTATTTTACTTTTCACTCGTTACTTTTGCTTTAAGTACTTGCACTTTTATTGGTTACTTTTTAAAAGTAACGTTCCCATGTATGGCATTGATGGAGTCTACTAAACATTGGTCTACATTAAAAATTCAAGGATATCTACTAAGCACTGGATTTTATTAAAACTCTGAGGAAGTTCTGCTACGAGTTGAGATTTTTAAAATCTTAGAGAAAGCTCATTTAATCCCTTAAAAATAGAGAAAAAAATTACCTGCAATAGTATTTTTCATCGACAGTTTCATATCAGAAATAACAGAGTGGTTTTCTGATTTTCCAACTTTCTGAATGTAACTCCCACAAGCAAAGGAATAAAAATTGTCACATGGATTTACATCTGGATTAATGGATCCAAGAAAATAGTTTGCTGAAAATAACGTTAACTTAAAATAATATATGTATTAATGTAATTGCATGAATATATATATATTGAGAGAATCAGGACTTNATGTATATATATATATATATATATACTTTTTTTTTACTTTCCTTAAAATCAATAATCATATTTCATCGATACTATACATAAATGTAGAATTTTCTATAAGAAAAGATCATTACGGGGAGCTTATTGTTTTTGTCATTAATCAGTCTATTCAATGAATTAAATTAAAGCAATATGCTCCTGATTTTATTTAGGGCTAAAATACAAAATTATAATATAACTATAGAATGAGTAGTGAATCTGAAAATTCTAGTAATTCTTGGACCAGTTTTTATTAGTTCATAAAAATCGGAACCTAGATTTACTAAAGCTAACTATGTGTTTCTTTGTGTACGCAACTTTTTACAAAGCAAGAAGATTTACCAATTTCATATTTTAAGTTGTAATTGACGAGTTTTATTCACATTTCTTGATACTCTCACTTTGTGTAAAATTTTGCACACGTTAAATACATTTTACATTTTCAATTTATTTATTAAAATATATATTAAATATTAAACATATTTAATACATATTTTTAATGACTTTGTACAAGTAAATATTTCTTTTCCTTTGTTAAAATAGAGTGGGTAATGTTTGTTAGGAATCCTACTAATAGTAAATATAAAAGTTACCAATTTTACAGATTAGAATAATACTTTAATACCAATTATCGAAGTCTTTTTTTTTCTAAGGCTAAAGATTTTGAAAATTAAAAACAATATGTTACGTTCCTATCAGCCAGTTTTTAAATTTTTTTTAAAAATTTAAATTTCTTAAAGTTACAAAATATTTGAATTAGTGTGAATTACACCGGATGGAATTTATAATATAAATAATTTTAAACTAAATTGTTATAACTGTTTAATTTTTTCTTATCTAAGTTATATTCACTTAAAGTGTGCGAATATGACACTCACGAACGTTAAAATTGCTTAATTTAGTTTTTGAATTGTTTTAGTTCTGTACTGTGAGTCAGTGTTTTGTATCAAAAGAGTTTAAAAATAGTTACCATTTTGAATACATTCTTTAGTCAAACATTTTTCGGGACACTGACTTTGCGCCAACACGCTAGAAACTGTAAAAATTCAAATCACATTTCCTATTAATTTAAACTTTAAAAAAAATTTAGTTATATGAGTTATTTAAAACTGCTAGAATATAAAAATAAAGAAGCTTATGATTTAATATTTACTTTACCTGTTTGGCTGTAGGCTTCATTTGAAAGCTTATTTCTACCTAGAGTTAAAAAAAATAGCTCATCAACATTGTTATAATATTTATAGTGACAATTCTAAAAAACAACGACGTATGGTAATTTTCCAAATTTATTTAAAATGCTTTTAGAGCTAAAATAATAATCGTATAATTCAATTTCAAACATACTTCTAATTTCAGTTGGCAGATAAGCGTTTTTAAAGATTTAGATAAATGCCATTCTATTTTTAAAAAGAAAAAAATAATAATTTCTTGATTTATTAATGTAAGTTTGGTATACCTGTCCGATAAAACAATCACCTGATGCAGTTTTCTTGACAGCTTATTTGCCCGGCAGGTTAGTTTGCCTTATAACTCATTTCTTCGATAGGTTCGTTTTCCAGACAACTTATTTGTCCGATCGAAAAAAAAAACATTCATAGACATTGAAGATCTTTATACTAAATAAATGCTAATATAATTTAAATTATATCTTGAAAAATTAGTTAATTAAGTATTTTATACGTTAACGAAATCTAAAATGAAAAAAAAAATTTTTTTTTGAAACCTACGTAGCGCGAGTCTCAATAAAATTATTTTTAGAAATAATTTCGTGTTTTGAATTTGGTAATTAGTTAGTGGCTGATAATTAACGTTTTTCACTTAAAAATAGTAACTAAAAATTTATATAAATCTCTCGTCAATCAATTAACAGATGACAATTCTACAATTTAAATTTTTTTTTTGAACCGTGGTGGCTAAGGGGATAGAGTGTTTGTTCCCCTATCTGATAGCCCAGGTTCGAATCCCAGCGGTGGCTGGTTGATACAAATTCAGCTCAAAGATATCACGAACCACAGTGCTAACGTAAAATATCCTCAGTGGTTGACAGATCATGGGTTATAATCCTCTTGCCGGCATAAAATAAAATTCTTAGTCATTCAGTTGACGGTGGAAACAACAATTAACAAAGTTTGGCGAAAGCAATTATCAAAAAGCTTTATATATCCTGCAATGTATGTTTTCTTAAATTGTAATAATCACTGGTAGATCAACCCCTCAATTTACTTCCTACATATAAAAATAATTTTAAACACTGCTAATAAAGCTACATCTATCATCGAATTTAAGTATCACATTACGGTGACGTCACTTGAAGTGACGTGAAGAGCAGAAAGTTCATGCATTTTCTTCGCCACAGTGTCTGGCATTTGAGTTATCGGACAAATGATCGGATCATATTATTATAGAAGTACATATTCAAAAGTAAATCAATAGATATGCACAGGAAACTGATATTTGCTCAAAAAGTAGTTTTTAATCTAACATTCATTCATTTGTTTCACTCTAAGCAACGTAATTAACGCTGTTTTTCTAAGTTCTGTCACCAAGGAAAATAAAAAGAACCATAGTTTAAGTGCCTTACACATAAAGCAATGCGATGGTTTCAAATTATATTTATAATCTTGCCTTGAAGAATTATCTGAGCTTTAGAACAGACAAACCTAAATATTTAAAATATTATTAAATTTTTTAAAAAATCGTCAAGTTGGCGACATTTTCCCACCTAGATGAAAATTTTTAAAATCACTGACTTAATCTCAGTTTTGGCAAACTTTTATGAGCCCAAATAATACAGCATTGGAGTAAATTTTAATTATTAAAAAAATAGATCACAAACGCTTCATTTTCACAAAGCTATGGTTCTTCTCCATATTGACGTTTTGCGTCATTTTCAAAATAAACGTAGACAGCCACTGGCTTTAGATAGGCTAAACTTGACCTAACACTCATTAGTAAAAGTTGCTAACTCACAGTAGTTATAAAAATAGCATATTATTCGCAAAAAAACACCTTTTCTCATATTACGACGGAAATTTCGAAAAACAGCCTTAAAAGAAAGTCAGTCATTTTTGGATTTTAAAATTCAGTTATGATTTTTCTGTATTTTATGTTGGGAAAAATTTAGGAACTAAAATTTTCTTTCAGGTATGTAAAAACTAATCATAAATTTTGCCATTAAATTAACATATCATAAATAATATTTATTCATGTGTTTACTTACCTTGATATATGAAACTGGAGTACAGAAATATTGAGCATACTATTATTGTCATAAAAATCATACTCTTCCAAAGTCGTCTCTGAATAGTTCTTTCATTCTGAAACCGTGGCATGCTGTAATCGAAACATTGTAATTTTTCAGTACTTTATTTTTGTAAATAACTTAATTGAATATTTTATAACAATGGCGCTTTTAATCCCTGCTTTTATTTTTTTTCGGATGTTACATTTTATGTATAAACATTTTATTCGGCGCTGGTGTTGAACGAGGAAATTAAGTTGAATTGTTCAACCTCTCTATTTGTAAAAGGTATATTTAGTATGTATTTGTGAACAATCTAAATTGAACATGAAAAAAATCCATATTAAATTTAGTTTCTGCTAATTTGCAGCGACTTTAAAATGTGAAACATATTGACCGGTGCAAATGTGAAACATATTAACCGTACAAATTGAACCATCTTAAACTCGAATGCAAGATACACTCTCAGAAAAATTGATTTTACTCTGAACTGTCATATCGGTACTTCGAGTCATATTATGATGAAAATTGGCCTGCTACTTCAAAAGGTATTAAACTATTTTTCGTTCAAGATGTAACACGGTGAAAAGTATTAAAGTTTATGAAATACGTTAATAAATACTGTTCAATTTTTCTATCGAACAAATTTGATGCTACTTCAATATGGTGCTAATTCAACAAATAATAAACGCTTAAATTAAATCATCCTGAAACATATGCAAGATACGCAAATTGGTTTCAACTTTAATGAAGCATTAAATTTAACTATGTTTCCCTCCGACGGTAATAAACACTTCGAAATCTGCACTAAGTGTTCTGCTGCCCAGGCCTCCCCAGACCACATTTTATCTTGTCTGGGACTTACCAGGCAGGACCTGGTTCAAGCTCCCCTGTTAGTGCTAGACTTTCTTAAAGTGAACGAGCTCATGGACCTGATCTAGCTCTGCTGGTCATGGGGATGAGAACAACAACAACAACATGTTTCCCTCCACGATGAACCACGATTTAAAAAGTACGTTAATATTGTTCTACTTATCGCCGCAATATCGCACAAATTTAAAGCTACTTTAATGCGGTGCTGATACGAACCATATTAAATGTTGAAATTAAATCATCCTGAAAGCAGATGCAAGATACACTTCAACGTTGAACTATAATAGTATCGGTACTTTGAGCCTTTAGCAAATTGGCCACAACTTTAATGTAGTGTTTAAGTGGACCATATTTCCGTTAAAGTTCAATCATAGTGTAGTGTGAAAAAGATGAAGAGTTGTATTAATATTATTAATATTATTAATTCATCACCATATTACGGTAACTGAACATTTGAGCGAAACTATGGTTTTACTTGATCGAATTTCTAACTGGAGCTGTTAATTAAGTGGTTCGATTTTAAACTTTTTAATATTGAAAGAAAATTTCTCAATATTATTGTTCAAAGCGGGATTTAAGTTCAGTTTTGGAATGATATTTTTTAGAGTATGATTGTTGAAAAAACATTGTTTTTATGTTGAAAGTTTCCAAGAAATTATTTAAAATAATCAAACAATTTTCAAAAACATGTAACTTACTATTTAAACTAAACCACTCAGATTCGGATCATTAAAAATTCTATATTTTTTAAGCTCTTTAATCTAACTAATCTTAATCAATTTGAACGAATAAACCTTTGCAATTTCTCTAAAATTTCAAGAATAAAGGAAATCAAATTATTTTACTACGATAAAATTATTTATTATTATTATTCTTTTTTTAAAAAAAATATTTTATCAATATTTTTGTTAAATATAGTAAATAAATTGAGTGAAACTTTGCATGTCGTGCGTACGTCTCTGGCAAACTTCGAATATTTTGAAATTATTATTTAGCAAGAACAAAATGGTAAAACTGATTCGTAACATATAAAAATACAAAAAATGTTTCTTACATTGATTTTCAAGATATTCAACCAAATATTTTTCATTCAACAAAAGTTTCTATCAACATTTTCATCTTAAAAAAATATAGACAAGCTTATCAGTGTGTAAGAAGTAAATTGAATCAAAACAAAACATATTACGCTTTCCTTTTGAAACATTCCACCTGCTTGATTGAAAACTAATATGTTAATTTTTTAAGCATGCGGAATCCAATATCAGAGCTCGAATATCAGAAGAATTTTTTTTTATATAATGTTTTGGAACATTCGACGTCCGTGATTTTCACCAATTCAGTCCGCTAATTTCAACCGATTATAATGCTAGCAATAAAATAAATTAATAAATAAAAAAAATTGACTAAGCCAGTCCAACTGAAAGTACAAAGTATCATTCGTCCCTTAAGGTCTTTTTAGTAATTTAGATTAATTAGTGGATGTTACTACGAGGCATGTATTTATTAGAGGGACAATTTAAATTTATTTAGGTTTGAGGTCAAGATTTGATTTTGCCCACAAGCCGGAACTGTAAAATAACAGGCATCACAAAGTATATTCTCTCTCACTCTCTTCTTAATTTAATTCTATAATTTTTTTCAAGTTTATTTTAAAATCTATTATTGCGTTTAATTTTTGAAAGTACTAGCCAAATGCAAATCTTAAAATTTTTTTAAAACAGTTTTTGATAATTAAAAGAAATGGAAGCACTGACATACTTGGAAGCATCATCAGCTTCCAATTTTACTTCTTTTAATTATTATTTTTCTCTCTGTTGGCACTGTTAGTGCTTTCACAAGACAGTTTTTAGTTTTGACATTTTTGGTTTGACTTCGTTCTTGTATGAGGTAGTAACTTTTTGTATTTCATCTTTAAATGTGTTTTCTTCGTATATTCTTCCAGGTGTGACACTAGCAGGTTGGCGCTTTCGCATCTTGGAATGCTATTTCTTATAATATACTTTATCTTTATCACAAATTTTCACTATTTTTGTTTTTATTTCTTGAATTGTATTCTCTCTGTTTATAATATATATAGCTCTCGTTTGCAAATACGCATATTTTCGGTTTATAACCTATCTGTAGATTAGGCTATATAGTATAGATTCTGGTTTAAAATAAGATTTATATGAAGATTCCCGGAGAACTTCACCGACATGTGAACAATGAAAAAATTTCGAGTTACCGAATTAGAGTCATGAAACAGAATAATAACTAGCAATAAATATGTATAGCTGATTACAATTTGAACTACAACAATGATAATTTTATTTTTAAGAATTAGACAAGAATAAATATGCATTAAATAGAAAAAAAAATTACTTTACATTAAACTTACATTGTGATTTTTCCGAAAAAATTCGTTTTCTGTACATCTGAGTATACTGTATATCTGAATTTCAATAAAATAGTCAAAACAGCTCTTTAAGCGCAATAAAAGTCATAAACCTTTTCTTCCTCTCAGCATTCATTACACGTTCATTCATAATGTTCAAATTTATCGAGATTCCACAAATATCTTCTCGCAAAAGAATTATTGACTATTCAAAATCATCAAAAGGTAAGAAATATTTCCAGAAATAACATGCAAAAAGAGTGCATCACTTGCTTCTTTTTAGACTAAAAAAATGTTTGAATGGTATATAAGGGGCATAATAATCCTCCCTTGAAAAGCCTACCGGCCATTGAATTCGTCCACATTTTGCACAACAAGTGGTCCCTGACTTTTCTTCTGTCATAAGAAGTCCTTCAGAGCCGATTGAGTTTCTCAATCTTTTGTCGCGCATCGTGTCAACAGTCCAGGAATCTGACTTTTTGATTCAGTCAGAGAAATATCGGCTTAAAAAGTTTTGAATATCAAAGGGGGTGCCTAAAAGGGGTTGGATAGGTTTGGTTATGAGCACAGCTGCATGGATGCCACAGGTGCGCGAAGAAAGGGCTTTTCTGACCGTTCGAATTCTGATATCGATTTGGCGGGATAAATCAGAAATTTGAAAAATATCAAAAGTCATCTTTTATATTAGGTTGGTGAAAAGGATTTTTTAAAATAAAAAAAAAGATTAAAGTTGCCGCAACGTAATTCACGTAAGCTTCAACGGGCAATATTCACTTACGTGCTTCGCGTAAGCTTCTACGAATAGAAGTATTTAATTCCTATATTAAAATATGAAAGGAAAATCGCACTTTCAGAAAAAAATTATCTAATTTGATTATGTAATAAAATTTCAAATTTTTTTTTGGTTGGGAATTACAATATAAAACTTTGTATCGTTACATCTGTTTGAAATATATATCATTTAAATGATGTATCTATTTCTGTTTCATCTATCGATCTATCTTCCATTTATATATCTATATATCTAATAATCATCTATCGCTTAAAATATAGAAATCATGCATAACAAATAATGGTTTAAATGATACAGTAACTAAAAATACTCGCTTGATTTCCATTTCACACAAATGAACATTATGTTTAGACAATGAAAATTTTCCAAAAATGTGTAATAATTTAAATGACATTTTTCAAATTCAAATTATGGAAGGGATTTTTAATATCACTATTCGAAATTATGCCGTTAGTGAAACATTTCTGGTTCCAGTTAAACAGCTGAAACAATTTTTTTTTTTTTGCAATAAGAAGAAATAAGTCAAAATTTTTTTTTTTAGTTAAGCCTCCTAAAGTAATTTGGCTAAACAGCTGAAACAACTGGCTTTGTAACTAAATTAATTAATTGTTTAACTAAAATAATATACTGTTTAGTTAAAATAATTAACTTTTCGGTTAAAACAATTGAATGCATTGTTGCATTGTTGAAACAATTGTAATCTGACTTTGTGTTTAATGAATAATTTCTTCAGTATTCAAACAAAAAAACAAATCAATGTATACGGAGAAAAAAAAAACTGGTAAAGTTCCCGCACTCGTATGATAATTAAAATTTAGTTAAAAATAACCATAACTCTTGTAATAAAATCATAATACACGGTATTTAAATCCTACATCTTGTAGTTTTTCCGTTCTTACGGTAACAATTTTCTGAAAGGTAATTACCGGATTATATTGGTTTTCAAAATTAAAGTTCTTATTACCACACATTTAGTAAAAGTATGAAACTAAAGAGCAAATTTCTTTTATCATGTTCTAAGGTACAATATTAAAATTACCAGATTTGACCACAGTTGCTACCAAAAATTATTGTACTAAACCATATTTTATTGTTAATTTTCCAAAAATCATCACATAAGAGCTTAGGAAAATAATTATCTTGATTTTGGTGTTCCTAAAGAACCAGAAGCACGGTAAATTATACCATATTCTGGTAGTTTTGATCATACTTTTTTTTTCCTCAGTGTAGTTTTCGTATGTTTATTATGATTCAAAAATATAAAATAACTAAATAGCTACAGTTTCTTAATTAATACTATTGCTGTTGTAAATAACATTTTCAAAAACATAAAAACTAAAAAGTTATTCAATAAGACTGCATTTAAAGCTGTAATAATCAGAAATAAAATATAATTTCTTGCATTTAGGTTGCAATGATTTTACTTTTGATACACTGATTAATGCACATGCTCTACATTGCAGTAAGAAATTATTATCATAACTTGTATTTGCATTTATATTTAATTACTTGTACATAACTTGTATTTATATTATTAGGTATTATTAATTTATAACATGTAAAACTTGTATTCATAGCATGAATCACTATCTAACATGAATTTATTCAGTTAAATATGAAATACTTTTTCTGTAAATACTGATAGCAGATGCTCAAATGGTTTTAGTAATTAAGAACTATTTTTTAAATATTATTTCAATTTGTTTGCATAATTTTAAGTATTTAAATTATATTTAATTTAGTTGTTCCTGAATCAGGAGAACAAAAATCAATAAGTTGGTAGTTAATTCAAACTGATTTCTTTTTGTCTTGTTCAGGATTATAACTTTACTTTCTAGAATAGAAAAATAAATTGTTTTATTATTTTTTTATTTATTAAGAATTAGAAAATGCATTTTCTGATTAAGAAAAATCAATTACAAAATTTATTATTGAGAAAAATATATCTGATTTTTCTTATAAGGTATCAAAAACTAAATTTGATCTAAGAAGAAAAATGTTTCTATGCCAACACGCTCCCTCATCCACGCTTTCCCTGGCGCAACGCAGTCTCGTTCAATCTAAAATACCCCAAATATGGAATCCAGAAAGGGGGTGCAAAGTCAAAATGGGACCCTATGTTCGATTTAGGCAAGGTGGGGCTCGGACCACTCGAGCAAATCGTTTTAACACTTTCCGCTTGGGCTGCCACTCTGAAGGATATTAGCACAGGATTTAGGTTGGGCCCATATTATACCACCCTCGCTACCCCCACCCTGTGAAAATAAAGGGACTTCCATCTCGGAACGTTTTATTAGTATCCCGAGAGGAGAATCGAACAAAATAATTAAATTGTTCCATCTCAGCCAATTTAATATTCTATATACGGCATTTAATTGAATTTTAAAAAATTATGTTTGTCTAAGATTATTTAACATTAACAAGCACAATTTTACGACAACACAAGTTCAATTTATATTATGTTTTGTACACAATACAGACTTCTAGAAGAAAATTCTGTAAAAAGTTACCAGAGATGTAGGTTAGAGACATATCTAGTAAAAAAAACTAAGTAGATAAATAAAAAAAAAGCATGAAAATTTTTCTAATTAAACCAAAATGTACAGATATCTGATAGTTAAAAATAATAATTATTTACAGTATTTAAACCATTTATTTTGTGATTTTTTCCCTTTTGTTGTTGCAATGGGTTTATCAGAGATTCTGGTTTTTAAAATTTTCTTATCTTATAAATTTAACCATAAAAAAGTAATTGGTTTTCATGCCATGCTTTCAAGAATATTACGATAAAATTACCAAAATGATTTTCCGCACTATTTTATCAATTATTTGGTACATTTTGATGTCTATGCCTTTTTATCGTCAGTTATGAAAATAACTGATGATAAATGAATGGTAATAAATCTCATAACCTGCTCGTCCTTCTCTGGTTTATTGAAAAAAGCTGTTTATTTAAATGGTTGATAGGAGTTTGATGACGGTTAAATTAATATTTTGCTAACGTATTCCGTAGTAATAACAGAGAGAAAATGGGCTTGGATGATGCCTTCAAGAGTTTTAAAAATATTAAACTTGGATAAATCAAGCTGCCTTGTTGTAGGCCTTTTGTATGGGGGTAGTGGAACTTATTTATTCACATTCATCATCATCTTCATAGTTGGCCAGACAGCCCAATGTGAGCCAATGCCTTCCTCTGAAGATTTCTCCATGCGACTTCCGATTTATCTTTTATCTCCAATTCTTCTTATTAATTGCGAGAAAATCAGAATCCACTGAGTCAGCCCATCTCAACCGCTGCCTTCTCCGCTTTCTTTTTTCAGTGGATCTAAAAAGCAGTATCTTTTTTATTGTGTTGTCGTCACTCATTCGAATCACGTGGACTATCCAATTCATTCTATTTATTTTTATGTATTTAATAATATCAAGTTGTTTATAAATCTTGTACAGTTCAAAGTTAAATCTCCTTCTCCAGTTATTGTTTTCATTTACACCAACAAGTATGCCCCGCAAAATCTTTCTCTCAAATATTGCGATACAATTTACATCCAGTTTTGTCATGTTCCAAGCTTCAGAGGCGTGTGTCAAGACTGGCAGGACAAGAGTTTTGTAGATTAAGAACTTTGTTTTTCTAGAAAGAAACCTAGATTTAATAAATCTTCTCAGCCCATAGACAGCCCTATTCGCCAGATAGAGTCGATTTTTTATTTCAGCAGTAATTCTGTTTTCAATGGTAATAAATTCACATTCATAAGAGGGTTTTATAAGTAAATGCAAAGAATGGCTTGGAAATTAAATAATAGTACAAGTTTGAGAAAGACAGTACGAATATACATCCAGTGTTATAGCGGGATTCGAACCCACCCGCTTCCGAGCAGTTTAGCGGAATAACGACACTGCATGGAGAGATTGCGTCCTCCGATTTAATGCAAGTAAAACAAAACTTTATTCAGATCTCCACGGCAGGGGATGATTGTCCTAACGCCAAAGGCTCTGAATTGTAGTTGGTTCAATAACTCTGGCTGAATTCTGAATTTGATCAATTTCACAAGAGACGAGTCCTTCTTTGCATTAAGCACACGAGTATTCAAAGAACTATCATATGTATTTAGAGGAAATTTATTTATTGTTTCACATCCAGGGTTACAGTTGGATTCGAACCTGGTACCTCTATTCTACGTAGCATTTTTGTGGAATGGCAAAATTTGCTCGGATAAATAGACTTATCGACTTTATTTTTGTATTATTTGATTGGGCGAGAAAAAACGCGATTCACTAGTACGGATAAAAACTGGTATTAATCAAATATTGAACTTTTTATACTTCATCATACATGTTTAATTACTTATAAATTCTGAACTATTAGTCCAATCGACCTGGTTTTGGCATCAGATCATTCTATATAGTTCTAAATACCACATAGGAGGCAATACCTCACTTGTCTAAATATCAAAGTATTTCCCCTTTTAACTTTTTCTACCTCCTAATAAATTCAAGATGGAGGATAAAGTTTATTTTAGGGTGAAAGGACAAACTTTAGGTATCTCTATCAGACACAAACCACCATGTTTTAATTAATTTCCAATTTTTCTTCAGCTATTTCAGCATTCAACTATTTAGGAGCTGACCTAAGGGTGTATTTGGGACTTAAAGGCATGGGAATGTCTCTACAAATTTCGAATTTAGAGTTTATTCTGTTACTATCAATTGGTAGGCTATCAAGCCCGACTGGTTAATGGGTTTAAATAGTTGTAGGCGCCTTACAAAATCTCTAAATTTCAATCTACGCATGCTAGCGAGAAACTGTATCCAATTAAATGCATTCCGACTATATCATTTATGTAGCATCAGTATTGAATTTCTTAATGAGAGTGAAGAAACAGTAAAAATACAAACACCATAATATGCAATGATCGGATTTACGCAAACTCATTAACGGAAAGGATTGCAGATTCAGATCTGGTAATTACGTTAAACTCCATGCTTGACAACAGTTAGAAATCAAATACATACAAAGAATTACCAGTAAAATTTACGCCCTAGTGATAAACATTTTAACAGTAACATTAAAAATAGTTTATTACAATAAATTGAGTCGTAATTTTTTACACCTTTTAAGTATACTGATATTTGAAATAAAATGTGTGAGTTAAGAGAATGTAATAAAATAATCTCTTAAAACTTAAGTTGGATGTTTCTAAAAAACAAATTTGAAAAAAATGTTTGATTTGATTTAAATAATCAGACTTAAATTTTATTGGATAAAGGGTCAAAACACAACTACATTATTACATATCTTTCAAATAATTAAAATGTTCACACAAAACAAAGATTTAATAATGTATCTTGTTCAAAATGCTTAATCAAATTTGTATTTTATTCAAAGTGATCAAAAATAAAAATAAAAAATCTGAATATTAAAAATTTTGTGAATAATTTTTTTAAAATTTTTATAAACTTAATTTTTTTGAAACTAATTTTTTATAAAATAATAATAATAATAATAACACATAGATTGAGCTTATTTAGGCTTATCTGGTCTAAGTATTGATAAGGAAATTTGTTTAGAAAATAAACTAAAATAATTTGTCGTGAAGTTGACGGGCAAGTCGAGGCATGTTAAAATAATTTGTTTAAATCTCCGTATTCTAAACTACACGTTTCTCAATAATAAAAAGAAAAAACGAAAAAAAAGTTTATTATGCAATTTTTATTTTTTTTTTCATTGATACGTTACAGTTATATAAAGACTGATCTACGTACTTTCGAATGAGTTAAATGCAGTTACTTTTAATTTTTCATAATAAATTTTATTTATTACAAGCATTAAGTGCAGTAGTTTTTGTATAGAATTATTGTAACCAAAGAGATATTTGTGATTATTAAAATTTCGTTAATATGTATAAAAAAAAAGATAAATTTAGTGATTTGAGCCCAGTATTACTCACTATAGACAATCCCTGAAAGAAAGAGCTAATTATCCAGAATATCGTTAAAATGATCTTAGAAGCGATATACTATCGAAGTACTCCATCAACTTTTCACGATTTTTTTTTGCGTATTAATCAATATATAGAGAAAACAAGGGAAAAATTACAGAACAATGAAAAGAGGGAAAAAAAAGAAAAATAATAAAAAAAATAAAAATAACAAGAAACCGGAAAAAAATTCCGAAAAAAAGGACAAAAAATTTTAAAAAAATCCGGAAAATAAAAGATATAATCTTTTTATCAGCTCACACGATTATATCCGCAAAAAAGAGAGTGCTTTCTAATATTGTATCAATATAGCCGAAGCAAAATATATTAATACAATAGTGTGAGGCGCACTCAAAAAGTTTTAGAAAAAAATTACTACAAATAATCCTTTGTTTTCTCTATATTTTGAACTTATTTTATGAGTTCTATTTACTTGTAGCTTATGCGCAATAAATAAAACTTATTGTTTTTCTAAATTTTCTTCATGTTTTTTTTTTTTGCATTTATTTATTATGCTACATATATATGTATACATAAATATTTATCAGGGATATTGATAGTCTTATATAAAGGCCATTATATATACTAATAATGGCCTTTATATAAGACTATCAATATACTTCGGATACATTGACTTAAATCTTTTATTTTTCATGGAATTTTTTTTAAAGTTAAATAAAATGTGCTTATTTATTTTAAGTACTTCTAAAAATGTTTTATCATTTCATAAAAACCCAATTATTTTAAATGATCTTTATTTTAAAGTTTTTGGAAAGATTTGGGAAAAGTAAAACAAAAAATTTGAAATAATATGTCTTTTTTATGGTATAGTTTTTTTTAAAAATTAAAAAACTAGGAACAAAAAGATGTAAGCCACAGTTATAAGGTAAAGGTAAAAGTTATAAGGTAACATTATTTGCATCAAACTATTCCTGAGTATTGTCTCTAGACAGTTATTTTACAAGTTTCTGGAATTTTCTTGACTTTGAATACTATCACTTCATAATACACAGAAAATGTTTTTCACCTACATTAGAATTGAGGTCTTTTTGTTTTTTAACAAAAACCACCCACCGGAAAAATTTCAAAATATGGCTTATTATTACACTGTGGCAATCTCAAGTCTTTCAATTGTTCTGAAAAAAAATGTGAATAAATTTTATGTGTGAAATGAATAGTTTGCAACACTTCATCTAATTTACATCTTTAATAAAAATTTCAATTGTGACAATTTCAGATGTCAGATTTTTCTCGTATTTTTGGCATATATATGTACATCTATTTACTAATACAATATCTATAAGTAAAATTAAATATCACAGAAATAAACTTGTTTTCTTAAAAGTATAACTGAATTTTACGGTCCTAATCATAAAATATTCATATTTTGCTGCATGAAATAAAAAGCAATTGTGAAACTAGAATTAAATTTCCCCACAAAAGAGAGAAAATTTTAAATTAATTCAAAAGGACCGTAAAATACGATTATACTTCTTTCATGATATAATAAAACACAAACTTTTAAATACACATGGTTTGGAAAACAAGAAAACAAAATAAAATTTATACAAATTTCTTCATTATTTTTTAAGGAAATCAGGATATTTTCTTCAGTCCTTGGAAACAATAATTGATCTAATTCTCATTTGCATAATTGTTCATTTTCATCTGTTCAATTGAAATATGTGAATTGTCAAGTCTCTTAATGTTCATAACAATTCACCAGCCGAACTCATATGCTCAGCATATGATGCATTTAAATCTTATTTTTCAAAGATTTCTACGTTGTTCTCTGTATTTTGTTTTCAACACTGAAAATCCTTCTTATTTTGTTATTTACATTTCGATTTATTCTATTGCACTTAGGAGCATGTTGTACTCGAAATCACCACTGTAACCTTTTCCTATTTGCAGAAAAGAGATTCTATTAAGTTTTAAGAATTTCCTATTTGATTTGTAGAAAATAAGAAATTTTATGTAGTTTAAAGGATTTCCTATTTGATTTGAAGAAAATAAGAAATTTTATGTAGTTTAAAGGATTTCCTATTTGATTTGTAGAAAATAAGAAATTTTATGTAGTTTAAAGGATTTCCTATTTGATTTGTAGAAAATAAGAAATTTTATGTAGTTTAAAGGATTTCCTATTTGATTTGTAGAAAATAAGAAATTTTATGTAGTTTAAAGGATTTCCCATTTGATTTGTAGAAAGTAAGAAATTTTATGTAGTTTAAGGGATTTCCTATTTTCTTTATAGAAAATAAGAAATTTTATGTAGTTTAAAGGATTTCCTATTTGTAGAAAGTAAAATATTTCATATAGTTTTAGGATTTCCTATTTGTTGAAAGCAAGATATTTTATGCAATTCTTAGGTATTTCCTATTTGTAGAAAGTAAGAGAGTTAAAAGTAGTTTTAATGAATTCCTATTTGTAGAAAGTAAACGATTTTATATAGTTTTAAGGATTTCCTATTTGTTGAAAGCAGGAAATTTTATTTAATTCTTAGAGATTTCCTATTTATAGAAAGTAAGAGAGTTCAAGTAGTTTTAAGGATTTCTTATTTGTAGAAAGTAAAAGATTTTATGTAGTTGTAAGGATTTCCTATTTGTTGAAAGCAAGATATTTTATGTAATTCTTAGGTATTTCCTATTAGTAGAAAGTAAGAGAGTTAAAAGTAGTTTTAAGGAATTCCTATTTGTAGAAAGTAAATGATTTTATTTAGTTTTAACAATTTGTTAGTTTGAAAAAGTAAATGATTTTATGTAGTTTTAAAGTTTATTTGTTTGCAAATGGTTTTCTAAGAAATTTTGAAGATTTCCTATTTTCTGAAATCAAAAAGTGTCCTAATGAGGTACAATTCTACATTAAATATAAAAATTGATTTCATATAAAAATCTGACGACATTATATTTTATTTAGCGTTCATGAGGTAAAAAATATGTGCTTATTTTTTTAAACATTCTTGCAAAAAAAATATTTATGGGATATTAATATGGGATATGGGATATTAATATTTATGGAATGCTGCATATGATAATAAAAGAACATTATCATATGGATCAAGATGATTAATATCTCAGTAAGATCATATTTAGAAAGATATAATTCACATCTTTCTCAAATGATAAAAGAAATTTCGCTAAACAAATGAACAACTTTGAGTATTTTACTCGCATTTTTTACTTGCTACGGAGTATAGCTATTTTAGTTTGTCTTATAATGTTTGCGCTTTCCATTTTTAAAATTTTTTCTTTTATCAGTTTTAGGCATTAAACAAAAAATATTTTTTAGTGTATAAGTGATTATAACTAATAATTGTTCAGTTATGGTATTAAGGAAAATGATAAAACAATACATTGTTTTATTATTATCCCTAATGCCATAACTAAACAACTGTTAGTGTGCTTTTGATCAATCCACAATTTATAAATAAAATAATGAATGATTCTATTTCAGTTATATTTGTGCGTTCATATGCCATTAACTATCCGAGATGTTATGAAACTATCAGGTTGATTCGATAAACAGGCGGTGAGAAATTGTAGTGAGATATGACGTCTCACGCATACGATACTTGAAAAGAATTCATGTTTGTGATTTATTACGACTAGAGTTCTTATATCTAAGCGTAGTTTAAAGCGCTACGACATACAGTGAATAAATATGATGTAACTATAAGCGTTACGTACAAAATTCGCCTTTAAAAACTAAGATGGCTATTTTTTACACTTAAGTTATTTGTTATTTTGTTCTGTTAATTTTCGATTAAAAAGTTCAATTTCTTGCTAACAAGCCATTTTTAATAGAAAATTTTGAAAAACGTTTTACATTCCAAGAGCTGAATCAGTTATAATTAGTTTATAGAACCGTAGCTGAAGAAGAAAAAAAAACGATACAGCTATCATGATTAAATACAGCTATAGTTTGTCTAAAATAAGAACTCCCCCAGACGCTCGTCTGGACCTGTGGCGGTGACTATGGTAACAAGATATGACTATTTCAAGTAGGGGTGTGGGATCACTGTTTTTGGGTGATTTCGGTTCGGGTCGGCATTAGAAAGGGAATCTCTTTCTTCTGTCTAGTCCTAGAGTGTAGCTACCCTCCCTAAAATGCACCATTCCTGTTTCCATAGCCCCAGGCGGCCTCAGACTTTGTGGCGGAAGGAGTTTGTTAGCTTAGACAAACTATAAGCCGGATTCAGCTTCTGAGACGGTGTAAGAAAGTGAGATCTGTACAGTTTAAAGCTGCTTGTCGTAACTCTGTTTAGATATAGGAACTCTAATTATGACAGCATCTATCACTGAAATTTCTCATCACTTAGAGCAACTTGTTTTGCAGATCAAGATGTGAATGAAATCGAGTACAAGGCCGTGTTGATAGCATAAATGGCGAATTCTTCCGGAAACCATGGCCTACTAGGTTCACTCGATTGTTGGAAAGAACTAGGTAGACGGCATACTATCCGAAGATTCGTCGTGTTGCCGATGATGGTTATGATGATGATGTGAGAGTTCGTTTTCTCTTTTCAGTCGTTTGTTGTCCCGACAGTCTAGTTCGTCTTGATCAGAACAATCATCGTTGCGCATTTGTTCTGCTTCCGAGTCGTGTTTTTTCTTTGCTGTTGCCATTTCTGCGGCGTGTTTTTTTCTCCATTTCGTCCGCCGATTCTGAAACCAAACCTGAAAATAGCAAGATAAAAAAATTTAGTTGTTTGGTAAAAATAATATGTTTTTTTCCAATGGCAGAAATTGACAAACTCTTAACAAGAGGAATATTCAAATGAAATAGATAAGAGAAAAAGTCAATGACTCATTAGCAGATGCCTAGCACTCCAATATCTTTTCACTTCTAAGTCTCCGTGTACAGCCGAACATCCCATCAAGTGCTGTTCGGTGTAAAAATAATATTGTTATTGGAGAATAAAAAACTGGAGTTGTTGTTGTTACTTATGCCACTTGCCAATACCAGCAACCCTGCTTGAGAAATCAAACGAATTTTTAAGGCAGAGGTTGCGTTTTTTGTTTTTCCAGTGGCACCATCTACGGCCAAGAATAAGACTTTAAACCACACATAAGTCACAACCCGTTTTACAGGGATCACGACAGATCGTAATTTTTAACCTGAACCAGAGAACTATCAATCTCCAATTCAGTACCACCAGAGGTATTTAATTTTTTTTATGGGAACTTGGAGGACTTTGGTCCCCGACAGATTTAACGTGCATTAGTCACAATTTAATACACGGGGGTTCTTCGTCCGGCGGGATTTGAACTCACGCTCTCACGAACACGAGTCCAACGTCCTATTATTATTATATGAATTAATCAAAAATATTTAAAAATTACTTTTTGTTTCCAACTGTCTTACTATATGTAGGTAGGTATATAGTAATATAAAATAATAAAACACAAAAGTAACATATTAGCAAACAAAAACAGGATATTTTAAAATACTTATGGAATTGATAGTTGTAGAATAATATTACTTTTTAAGAAAATTTTAAAATGTATATTGAAATAGTTTAATAATCAGGATTATCCAAACATTGCATGATATGATTGTTTGTAACACGTTAATTGAACACTGAAATAGTTCACTGATATTGAAATAGTATAATAATCAGGATTATCCAAACATTGAATGATATGATTGTTTGTAACACGTTAATTGAACACTGAAATAGTTCACTGATATTTAAATAGTATAATAATTAGGATTATCCAAACATTGCATGATATGATTGTTTATAACACGTTAAATGAACACACTCTTGCAAAAAACAAATTTATGTATGGTTTGATTAAAGTAACCATATCAAATGGGTTTTTTTTCAATAGGCTACCTTTATTGCGTTGATGGATACGAGAAAATTTTCAAAGAAATATAAAGATTTGAAAAACTATGTGTTTTTTTTACTAAACTGAATTATAAAAATCTACTTTTCTCTATTGGATGAATTAATGCAGATAGTTAATAGAATAAAAAGCAAATATAGATAGTTATAGAAAATTATAGATAATAATAAAAAGAGAACAGAATCGGAAAAAAGCAGGATAATTTTAACGAACATAAACTTAATTATTAGCTTAATAACTTTTTGAGCAAATGAACACGATGTGTATTAAAATAGTTAAATAATCAGACCTAATCCAAAAGTCATACGATACGATTGCTTACGTCAGCATTTTCGCAACTCACGCTTATCAAAATAGAACACAAAAAAAAACTGAAATTCGTTCATGCTTTGAATAAAATTACCCCACCAAATGCTATCCATGCAATAAGCTACCGTTATTGCGTTGCCACATTCGCAAATGTAATTCCAGAAATCAAAAAGTAAAATCGTTTTGAATTGAAATTCAGTATGACGTAGTAGAGACGAATAAATATTCTGAAGAATTTTGTTACTCACGTGGGGATTCCTTATAGAATTCATTTCGTTCATTTCTTCATATTATATCAGAAAGTCATGAATTCCTATTTCATTTCAATGCATTCATAAAATGGGCTACTAAGAACGATGCTGCGCATGCGTATTAGATTTATTTTCCCTAAATAGAAAAATGGTGCTCGAACCATTATGGGAAAAACAATCTGCATAAATTGAACCATATCGCCCACGAAAAGGTTAATCTATAGCGCGGAACAGAGAAGTCTCGAATGTTATTTGTAGTGAAGCGGTTTGAATAATCTTAAATAAAGCTTTCTGTAGTTTCGTAAAGCTTACGCTTTTAACTCTCTTTAAAAATACTGCTTTTTTGCTTTCCTTTAAAAACAAATATTTTTTGACGATATTTACGATATAAATTTCGCAAAAGTTTTGAATTTTTTGTTCTGACTTGTTTTGTTCTCCATTAGTCTAAACATTTTATAACAACTTTGAGCTCCTGTTGTTTAACTTGCGTAAAGAAAATGCCTTTTCAATTTTTAAATCTAATTTTTTTTATAAGAAATGTATTACACAATCGTAGCTAGTAATCAATGGTACGCGTTCATCTAACTGATATTCCAATAAATTAAAATTGTAATTCGTTTTTAAATGCTAATATTTCATGATTTTGCAAAATTGCAAAGTTTCATTTTTTGATAATGATGCATCATGTCGAATCCCTCCATACTTAGGAAATAAACTTGAAAATTGTGTTTTTATGTTTTGTGGTATGATGATCTATTATTCCAGCCTAGTGTATCTCGCAAAAATATATAAATAAATGCAAATTTTAAAAAAAATGTGAATTACCTTTTCTTGTGCTCACACTATATTGAAATTTATTAAATTAAAATTTAAATTTTGTGTCAAAAACGGTCGGTTTAGTAACATTAAACTAATTATTATCATTCAATTATTTGTGAAATTTGTTGATGTGTATGTGTTAAACTGTAAACTGTGTTTTGTAAACTGTAGTTGAGTTAAACTGTAAACTGTAACCTAATTTTTAAACCGTAAAGAATATATTAACATGATTTCTTAAATAATTTTTGCTTTCGCCATCGTCGACGTTGATTTTGTTAGAATTTTCATCAACGATGATATCAGTTGCGAAGATAGAATAAAAATCATCAAAATTTAAACCTTGGAAAAAAAATTTAAAACAATTATTGAAAATGTCCAAAATGGCCAAAAAATAGATTTTTATGATTTTAATTCTTGACAGTCAATGATCATCGAATTTACGTGAATTTATTAAAGTTTTTTTTTCTCACTTAAATCTTATTTTATGACAGATCATGTGAATATTTTTAACAAGGAATACGAAACTACCTATTAATAGTGATGATTACTGAAAACACTTTATTTTTACCCAATTAACAATCTTGAATGTTAATTTAAAAAAGTCCGTTTTTTATTTTACGAAAATGATGCAAAGAAAGTTTTCTCAATCGCACAAGAAAAAAGAAAAAATACAACATCTTTTTAGTTGCGACATTAAAATTTTTTGATTGACTATTTCTCATAAAAGTTTAAATTGGTTTATTGAAAGTTCATCTTAAAAATCACAATAAGAAAGATAGTGAGCGTAAAAAATGTTTGTTAAATATAAAGCAAATCACAATATTTTCAACAAAAAAAAGTAAGTTATATTTATTAACTCTGGTTTAAAATTCATTTAGCGAAGACTTTTTGTTTTGTGGTAAGTTCAGATAAGTTCTAAACTTTCAGCATTGTAAAAAATGATGAAAAATGTATTGAAAGCGCGCTCATTAATCATTTTTTCGTGCATATATACACTGTCATAATTTTCATTAAAAAATTATGGTGAAATAATCGGCAGCAGTCTGATCATTTGATTAACCGTAAAGTTTACGTTAAAGAACATTTTATACATATACGGTTTACAAGTAAATCATGAGTAAAAAACTTAACGGTTTTTAACCATTTACAACTAGAATGGTTTTGAAACCGTAAAAAAGAAATTTAACTGAACATAGGAGCTAGGCTTTTCGGTATGGTAAAATGCTCTGGAGAGTGCAGGACACTGTAGGCACTACAGGACACAACCGCCTTCGTGTGTTGAAGGGAATGGAAATAATATTGTAGTGTCAAAGCTGGAACTAGAACACCCGCCCCTCTCGGCTATAATACGTACCCAGGTGAAAGGAACTAAGTGACTTCATTAGCTGGGCCTATTTAGCTCAGTAAAATTCTGGTTGTTTAACCGTATTAAGTGACAGCAATTAATAAGTGGTTTTTTCACAGTTAATAATTTGATTACCATCTTATTTAAGATTATTGATAAAATAACAATAAAATGAATTGTTATTTAACCATTTTTTCCGAGAAATTTCTAACAGTGTAGAACACATATTATAGGCATGCATATTATAGAAACAATTTATTGTTGTATATATATATATATATATACAGGGTTTCTCAGTTAAGCGTTTCAGAACTTCTAAGAGGGGTAGGGGGTATCCTGNAGCTCCGCTTTACATATATATATATATATATATATACAACAATAAATTGTCTCAAGACAACAGATGGAATAACAAAAATAAAACTTACTTTTACTTGACTTTCTGACATTCCTAAACCATAAGCCAGCTTTGCTCTTTCAGGGCCTGCCAGATATTTAGTTTGTTCGAATGTTTTTTCTAGAACGTAGATTTGGTGCCCAGAGAAAGTTGGTCTCGTGTGTTTCTTCTTTCCATCTTTATCTACAGCATTCTGAACTGCTGCGGAAAAAAGAACAAAAATTAATTAGGCTTTTGTTTAAAAATTTTAAATAGGAACAATATTTTAAATAATTTTCTTCTGCGTCACCTATAAATAGAGACGTGTTTGGCGACACTTTAGTTTGTTTGTAACTCTTAGGAATTCAGAAGTTTTTCATATCAGGGCAATTTACTTTAAATATCTTTTAAGGAATATTAAAAGAAATTTAAAAATCAGCAAGCATTGTAAAAACATCAAACAAATAAAAGTTTTCATGAATATTTTTTTACGCATAAAATTATACTGAACGCAACATAGAAATCATTTTAGAAGGATTTGGTTTAAGTACCTATACATACAAAAATACGAAATAATTTAAATTTAACTTTTTGTTATACTTTTTTATTTTTCTGACAATTGTAAATAGATATATTAAACAGTTTATAATGCTTTATGATAAAATTGAATTTCAATAAAAACAACATTTAAAATCACAAATCTGTACACAAATGCGTAAAATCATAAATGTTACCACTTGTGAATTTAAAAACTTTTTTTTCAATTGGAATTTAAAATAGGAAAACAATATTACGAAAAAAAACGTGATTACCGATTTGCCGAATTTAGAAATATAAGTGTATAAATTATTTTTATTTCTATTTTGAATCTTTGATGATGATTCAGTTTTACTGATTCACTCATTTACCATTACGACAATTCATTCATTTATTCACCCAATAAGTGATTCATTGATTAGCTGAAATGTTGATCCTTGACGAAAACTATAAAATGAAAATATTTTGAGTCCATGTTTCCCTTTTTCTGATCAATATATGTCTATAAACTTATCATAGCTAAAGCCTATACAATCTTTTTTTCAGATTAACAATGGCTCATGAATCTAGAATAATTGAATGAACATATCAGCTTTTCCTCGAAAAATATATGTTTTTAAACATCTATATTTTAAGTCCTTTTTTTCAGGCTAACATTGATTTATAAAATTAGAGTAGTTAAAAACTATATCCTCCTTCCCAAGATAAATATTGGTTTATGAACATAGAATAATTAAAACACATATTCACTTTCCCTAGACAAATATATGTTTATAAACTTAGTATAACTAAAGCATATCATCTTTTGCCAGACTAACATTGATTTATTAACTTAGAATATGAAGAACTATATCCTCCTTCCCAAGATAAATATGTTTATAAGCCTAGAATAGCTATAATCCATGTGATCTTTTTTTCAGAATAAATTGGCTTTATAAGCATGTGTCAATTAAAATACATATCAAACATACGTAAGCACATATCACACATACACATCATGTTAATTAAAACACATATTCTCTTTCACCAGATTAATATATGTTTATAAAATTAGTATATAGCTAAAGTCTATATTTTTTCTTAGACAAACTTAGAATAATTAATGCCCATTCCATCTTTTCTTATACTAGCATTGATTTAGTAACCTAAAATAACTGAAGTTCATATACTCTTCCTCCAGTCTAACATTGTCATATGAATCTAGAATAACTAAAGTTCATATCATTTTTTTCCAGACTCACATTAAGTTAGAAACCTAGAATAACTAAAGTTTATATCATGTTTTCACTGACTAATAAGAGGAAACAAGCATACGAAAAAAAAATATGTTAAAAAATTAAACTTTATTTTCTTACTTGTTTAATAATGGCTTAAACTAAAGTTTTAATACAAAGTTTTAGTACCATATAATTACATTTTAAACACCTCTTATTGTTGGTAGTCATTCGCGTTTTAGCGAAACACAGTTTTTTGTTCTTCTAAAACAATTTTTCGTTAAATAAAAATTTATTTTATAGTTTTGTTAGTAAAGCAACTTAACCTACGATAATAAAATTTATGTTTTTTTCTTTCAAGGAAAAAAAAAACCATACGACTGAAATAGATAGCGAAATTTAAAATAAAACTTTAATTTGTTTGTTCAAAACTTTATCTTCCATCTCTTCCATAAGAAATAACGTAACTTAGAACTCTTAATTTTCTTCACACAAAGTATAATTTCATTCCAAAACCGAGCAAAGAAAAACAGAACTCTCAAAAACTTATTATCGCGAAAATGATGCCCAAACTCTGAAATTGACTGCCAGTGTATAGCTTAATTCTGCAATTACCAAATCTTTTAATTTAACAATAAGATCATTTTAACGCCCCGCTACTGCTTTTATGTCCGCTTTTCCTGCTTTAATAAGTTAGGACTGCGCAAAAACTTATCGTTTCTTCCCAACAGATGGCGCTTCTTACTCTCATTATTCCAGAACCTTAGCAGAAAATGAAGAAATCTCGCTATCAAGACTAGAGCCGTAGCTATCAAGAAACATGATTATTAAAGGAAGGAAAGGATATTAGAAAGGCAGGAGGCGGCAAGTTTAGTCGCTCCTTTTATCTAGGAAGACAAATTGCCTTCTGGATTGCGGATAAAATGTGCCACTTCATCTTCCTCCCTCCCCCCTTTTTCCACTAGAACCCTGATATTATTCAAGCTGACTGCTAATTAGGGAGATAAATTTTTCATTGCGCCTTAAACGCACCCGTCACGATATTTAATTCCTATAAAAGGGGTTCCCTAAGAGAAAGAGCTGATTGGCCGATAAAGAACTTACAGAGGGAAAGGAAGAGATTTTTGTCTTCCATTTGGAAAGTGGTGATATAAATGTTTATTTAGTGACAAGTTTTGTGCTTATTTGATTGCTGAATTTACTCTCAAAAGTTGAGCAATAAAACGAACCTAAAAATCAACTAGTACGTTCGTAATTTTTTCCCCTGTCAACAGTTTTAATTTTTGTTTTCAGCGAACATATTTAAATTTTAAAATTCAACCTTGTTCTACTCTGTATTTAGGGTCCTTCAATCACATTAGATATTTTCCATATTACTTTGCGTTATTTTTTACCTATTATCAACTTTTTTTACATATTACTTTATTTTTTACCTATTTATTAACTTATATAGATCTAATATAGATCTATAATATATTTTATAACAGTCACTGAATAGCCGACCGAATTTTTAGTTTACGGCTACCATTGCTTATCTCCATAGCCTTGTAATTTTGAACCCAATCCAGATGACAAGGGAACTCCTGGATCAATTATTGGGAGAAATTTGCCTTCATGGAGAACTTTTTGATAGAACTAACCCGCATTTGAGCTATATGGAAAGGAAAACCACGAAAATCTGCCATAGTTAGCCTGACTGCAAGGGGAATCTAACCCATGATCCGTCTACCACTGAGAATATTTAACGTCAGCAATGTGGCCGGGCGAAATTCGAATCAACCAGCCATCGCCGGGATTCGAACCCGGTTCACCTCATTGGGAGGTGAGTGCTCTATTCCCTGAGCCACCACTGCTCGATCTCTAATATAGACACCCGGTGGCTGATTGGTAGCGCTTCGCGTTCTCGCTCCACAGGTCATGAGTTCGATCCTCGGACCTGGGTTCAATCCTTTGTTTTACATAATATGTAAAGTATAAAATTAGGAAGTAAAAAAATTTTGAAGAACTACATTTTCTATATTAACTATTAGTAGCAATAAAATATTTTGCTTGCAATTAGATTTTTCACTTCCTTTTATAGTTTGACGAAAGTGTTATACTTAGCGCTTAAAATAATTAACTCTCATTAAACACAAATATTGGTCCCTATTAATTGTAATATTAAGATAATATTAAATATTATTTGTTTATAAATACTTAGTACAATGCAAGTTTGGTTACAATACAAGGTAATGCTTATAAATGATCGACACATAAAAGTTTATTTACAAAGACACAATAGGAACCAAGAGACTTGAATAAAAAGAATATATTTTCCTTCATCTGGTAAAATATTATTAAAATAGGTTGTTCATAGACTTTTGAAAGTGGCAAAAAACTGTACAATAACAGTAGCAGTTTAACAGTAGCAAGTTCTTCTGAAGCTTTATTAAAGATATTACCATTATAATTTTGCAATAATTTTTTTCCTTATTTTCTTATTTGAAATTAAGTGTCATGTATGCGTACAAAAAATTATAAAAATCTCTGTGTTCAATTAAACTTAGCATCAAACTAGTGAGATGATTTGATCTCCTTTTATTCAACGTAGAAAAATACGGAAAAAAATAAATAAATGTATTTCACAATCACGTTCAATTTTTGTACATTTTTTTTTCTCCACATTTTTTGGTTTCAAATACTGCAGACAATTGCTATCACGGATTTATTTTAAAACAACGGCTAACTTAGATTGAAATGATGTAAATACGATGTAAAATATTTCGGATCAAATTACGGCAAAAATTACCAGCATTTAGAGTGCCAGTACTTTTTACCGTGAAATTCATTTTTACTGGAGCATGTTACGAAAAAAAATCTGATGTACAATGGTTTTTTCAATAATAATTACCGTAAAATCACTGAATCATTCGAATTAAATAAATATTACTGCAAAAACTACGGTATCATATTTTACGGTAAAAGTGGATTATACGTTAAAATGGATTTTACGGGTGATTCAACTAAAGAGCTACCGTTATTTGATCCGCATTTTTCAAAAGTGTATTCGGCATATAATTTATTACTGAATTTGTTGGAAATAAACTATACGTTAAATAAGCTATTCATTAAATTCTCTTTCCCTTAAAATGAATATTTGCTTCTTCAGCCAGAGTAAAATAAAAACAAAATTTCTTATAGTATTCTTTGCCGAAAAGTATGTACAATATGAAAGTATAAGTTTAATCATGATTAGCTACTGACACTTCCGGTGAATTTCTTTTTAAATCGAAACACGTATTAGAGTTAGTTATTGCAGAGACAAAAATTTATAGATTTAAACATATTTAAACTTATAGATTATTTTTACGGCAACTTTTGATTTTTTAAGGTCTTGCTTGTAAATCATTTTTAACTTACTGCCATAATTTGTTTTGCACTCGGATTCTTTTTAATTGCAACTCTTAATAATTAAGTATTATTAATAATTTA